TACCAATAACGTCTTTTTTTTTTAGTAAAATATCCAAATATGAAACTTTGTCAGACTCTGTGGTATCTTTTTCTTTCAAGCGCACCGGGATAGATCTATACATAAAAATGGAAAGAACCATTTTTAATTGACAATATGTTCTCGATACATGTATGTCAAAATGTCTAACTGATGGCCACAACCAGTGTTTTCTTCTTTTCACGTATAAGATTTTGAACACATTCTGCTTCATATGAATACAAAAAAAAAGGTCGGCTAAGAATAAAACACAATTAGTTAAGAAAAAGTAATTCAGTTAGTAGCGCATTCTTTGAGATATCATGCAGATGAATAAATAGACAAAAGAGGGGGATTTCTAATAAACCGTCTTTTTTTATTCTTCGTTGAACTTAGGGCAAACACGTCTTATGAAATCATCTTTCAAATTAAAAGTCGGTTATATTTGCAGCGGTCGGTATTAAACAGGTAAGATCACCGACTTTGAAACCTAAATGAGTTCACTGTATTATTAAGCAAACCGATTTTATTGATGGCGATTAATGTAATCAAATATTGCAGAGGAACAAAAACACACCTAGTCCATATACAACATAAAATTCAGAACGAGGAGATACTGTCCAGAAAAAAAGCACTAATTAACAGAAATCAAAGACATCTTGTCTTCATACGAAGTCGACGTCATTCGTTCAGTAAAATTAGACTCCTTGGGGATATGAGACAGGGAGGTTGAGGAAATCACGTCCGATTAAAATTGTTCTACGTCAATTCTTACGCTTTTGAAAATACAGGACAATAGATACTAGTTATTGATAATAATAAATGACATCGTTTCACTAGACTATTAAGCAAGGCAGTAAGATACATGAACTTTGAAACTGAGGTAAGGTAGTCCAATCCCCAGGTTCGTAAAACCATGGCAAGCAATGAATGATTAAAAAAGCTCATAAAATATTTTTGAATTCTCAAGATAATATGTATTTAAATGGGGTAATTCTCAAACTTAATCTTAGAGTGTATCATATTATATGGGGAAACTTAAAGAAATCTCGAATAAGTTTTAAAGAAATGTAATAAATAAAAACACCTTCCAAGCATTTTCTAATTAACAATTGATCAATAAACATATTTAAGATAAGAAAGACATCCACGATAATATGATGTATTTAGAATGTAGAACCTAACTTTCCTTTGGCCATTTAATTGTCATTTAGTGACTGATGCTGAAAAAAGATATGCGATGTCAGAAATAAAACAGAATAAATGTTGTTTTGCCCCAAAACATTGATTTTAAAAATTTGTATGAGTCAAAATAATTTTCAAAATATAAATCAACAACTGATATACCATGAAACATATGGAGAAAACGAACAATATTCAAGATTAAAAAAAATCCATAAAATAATACAAAATAGGCACAGAGCAAACACGGACCTCAAAAAATGATCTTACTAAGGTGCCATAGAGGAGTGAGCATCCCCTGCCAACCGGTCACAACCGCCGTGTGCTTCTTTTCATGATCGGGAAATAACGGGAAAATCCGTCGTCAATTTAGTGTATAAATAATGGACTAACAATTAGTTTGAAAAAACGTAAGTAAGCATTTTACTTAATGATAAATTGTATTTGCAGCTGACAAGGACATTATATCGACCATAGAACTTACGAAATGATGCCATTAAACGAGACTGCTGATATTCCTGTTTCATCAACTTGTTTGTCAGTAATTTACCTCGTTTTAGAAATTGTTCATACGTAGAGCATGCTTTTGCGTAGCCAATCAACTAAGATATAAAAACTCCGTATGCGGGTGATGAAGGTACCTTGCTGCGTAAGTAAGGGAAGTTGACGATTGTAAAGTTCAAGTCGTCACGTTTATTATAGAGCTTGGTTGTTAGATTACCATCAATAAAATTTTCAAGTAAAATATCCAAATATTAAACAGATGTGTCAGCCTCTGTGGTAACTTTTATCTTAAACTCACAGTGATATATCGTATCGAAATAAGAATGGAAGTGTTGTTAATTGACAAACGTCTTCGATATATCTAAATGTCGAGTTGAAGGCCACAATAAGTGTTTTCTTCTTTTCATGTATAAGATTTTGGACAAATTCTGATTCATATGAATACAAAAATAGGTCTGGTAGTAATGGGGCACAATGGAACCCATGGGGATTCCAATAGATTGTTCGAAGACCTGGTCTCCAAAAACCACATAGATACATGTATTGTCAATCAGAAACTCAAGCATCTTTTTTATGTAAACTACAGAGTACTTGTGTGTACAATCACAATGTTTTTAACAAATTAATTTTGCAAATGACCAATGACAAGGTGAGAAAAATGAGTTCCTTTTTTTTTTTTGAAAAAGCAGCTGTCAGTGATATCAAAAAGCCTGCTGGACTTTAATTTATCGTGGGGAATGGTAGTGTACAAAGTTGAAAAGTCGTAAGATTTTAAGCTGTTGATTTTGGTGAAATCTTGTCATTTCAAATTGTCCAAAAGTTCCTTGGAATTTTTAAGTATCCACATCTGATTTACACCACTTCTTGAATATGTTGTTGGGCAGTAGTCTTGAAGTTTCTCCTTCACTACTGTTAATATCTTAGTGAGGAGTAAAGAAAGAGGTTTAGTTGAGCATTTACTGGAACTTGCTATGTATCTTTGTTTGTAAGGATTCTTAAGAAGTTTTGGAATCCAATATACATATGGTAGTTCAAATTCATTTTGGTTCTTTGGGAAATTAAAAATATTCAAAACTGACATATGATTTTGAAGAATTTCTTCCTTAGAAAGGGGACTATGAGTATAAGTTGGATTACCAGTTGTAGAATTATATCCAAGTTCTTCTAAAATTCAATTTAAATAATGAGCCTTACAAACGAAGACAATGTTGTTACCTGCTTTGTAAGCAGGGACCAGTACTTGCTGATCATGTAATCTATCTAATTCTTTTTGGATTGTCGAATACAGAAGGATAGATGGTTTTCATATTGCCCCGCAATCTTTTAATACGAGATTGTAACATAGATCTGACATAAATCGCGAGAGGAGTTCTGGGAAACTGGTTTACATTTTAAATAATATTTTGGTCTGAAATTGGATGAGAATGCTAATTCGAAATTCCTAAAGTTTATGTCACATGTTTACAACATCACTAAGTATATTTCAATGGATGATAAGACATTTATATAAAATATGAGATCAGGTTTTTTAAAATGTATATCCGCAAGTATGATTTTGCCGCACTGTTACAACAAACTTTGAAAAAAATCAAAGAGCGTGTAAAATTTGGGACCAAGTTAACACACTTAGAAAATATTAAATTTCTTTTCAAAGTGTGTTAAGGTACTCGGATCCTCACGTTCTGAAAATCAGGCATGGACTAATTAAAAATGCTCACAAAAATATCTATGAATTCTCAGCTAATGTGTTTACCCAGAATAATTCTTCAAACTTCATCTTAAAAGTTAATCATATTTATTTTACATAAGGAAAATAAGTAAATCTCGAATAAATTTTCAGGAAATGTGTATAAAACACCTACTATGCATTTTCCAATTCTTTGATAGACAAACACATTTTATAGAAATAAGAATCATAGGTATCCAAGCTTTTGGAGAAATTGTACAATTAATTTTTATACAGATAAAGTACTCTAAATTAGTTTCTTTTACTAAAATACTTACCTTGATCATTTTACAATGCATAGTATATAAAGATTTTCCTCTCATTGCAAAACACCACGTATAAATCACTTCTATATTTCATATAATGTTGATAAACATTGGTATCTATGATTAAATTAAAAGAACCCCAATTTCTATTTTAAAAATTCTTTTATTGGGTAAAAATTTCGACTTTTAAGACTTTTCTGAGAACTTCAAAGAAATATGAAGCACATTGGGAGGTATGAAATGAAAATTGTTGCATGAAAAGATTTAATTTTCAAGCTACATTTTGAGAATTTTTGAATTAAATTATAAATTATCCTTCCTTGTTGAGGATCGAAGTACCTTAATATCGGCCAAAATAATGCACTTTGAAAAAAAAAAGGTATGATATGCAATTATTTTGATCTGGTTGCATAATTTTTCGGTGATGAGGTCACTTCATGATCTGAGGTATAGACGTTTTAAATAGTTTAGGTTGTCGGAAGTGGTATTAAAGGAAAAAGGGTCTTTAAGAAAAATTGTTTTCCATGAAAAAGTTATAGATCTGGAGGATTTATATATGCACACATTCTTTAGAAAGTTTAGGTATATTGTTTTATTGGCCTGTCTGTCCATTCCCCCATTCTGTCACAATCTCTCCATATAAGCAATTTGTTATGTCCTGTGGATGTGCATGGAATATATTTTTAAAATTAACCCCAAAAGGGGTTGAGAAACCTTTTCTAAGAACTCCTCATACACTTTAACCAGTAGTCATCTGTAGGTATCCAGTAAATGAGCAATGAGAATTTGAAATTTTCATTTTTTACAAAAACATGGTTTCCAGAACTATTCTTAAATTTTACTCAGTAGATAAATCTTCTTGGAATAAAATTGGTACTGGTGGTAACCTGTGGGTGTGCAATTAAGTTTTGGGGGATTTCTTTGTCAATCTGAGGCAAATATGACAAGGAAAACAAGTTTTTTTTAAAGAATACCTTGCAAACGGTTCTTTTAAAAAAAAAAGGTAAAAAGAATTACACAGACAGGTGGATGGATACTGTACGTTGGGCAATCAAGATCCCCAGGGCTTTCAGCTCAGATGAATCAAAAACTTTTCCCCATTTAGCATTTAGAAAAAATACATTTTTATGCAAGAAAAATTGTAGATTGTTCAACGCTTTATCACAAAACGTCACCAACACCTCGAATTATCAACACACTGAGTAGTGGGTCAGCTAGATAGTCATTAGACAGGCTTATATAATAAATAACACTAACATACTTTCACACGTTGCCATCTTTTCAATTCATCTTACAAATTATTTTTTTATAACAAACTCTATGTATATCTTTCAAAATTTTAATAAATAATACAAGCTCTGTAGGATTCACTTTCAAGGGATATAATCCATACTAGTATTCTTTAAATCAATATAAAAATTGGATGACATTGAACATGGTACTGCATACTTTGTATGTGCTTACATTCCTATTTAATCATATCTTTTGTGGGCATACTGCATAAAGTAAAACTAAAGCTCACTGCTATATCACCATGATGTAAAAACATAATGGGTGCTAAAGAGAAATATAAAATGTTTCTTTATAACTTCGCAACATAATCATTAATGTTAAAATTTGGCTGTCTAAATTTTGTTTTCTGCAAAGGTAATGACTATAAAATTAAACAAAAACAATGTGAAGAAAGAGAAAGATGTACAATAAAGCTTTTCAGAACTTACACATACTGACACTATTATAAGCCTTAATAAGGTAAAAACATGAAAATCACACTTCAAAATGAATAAAGATATTAATCAAAATAATATTTATTTAACATAACGGGCATACCATAACCAATCAAATTTTATCTAGATTTTCAAACATTCATCTTTCGACTCAATTAAATAATACATGTACAGAAAAAAAATACTTGGAGATTGAAAGACACTAAACAACCATTGTGATAGTTTACATCTTTAAAAGACTCTCTACACACTAAATCCAAATGCATTTTTGGACACTGAAAAAATTAAGGGCTAAATAAAGAACTTATCTTTTTTATTTTCATTAAAAAGTACCAGTACATTTACTTCCTAGTAGGAAAAAAAAGTATTGAACATTAGAATTAAAACTTAATTCTTTCAATGGGGAAAAATGCAGTGTCAGTTTATCTTTGAATATTCAAATGATAAAAATGTTTGAATCAACTACAAATTGAGTAATAGACTGTAGGTTTTAATTTAAATTTGAGATCTAAAGGAAAATAACTCAAGAAATCAATTAAAAATACCATAAAATCAGAGCTTTTGGGCCATGCAAAGTTAATTACTTGGTTCTCAGGCCTTTTTTCAAGAAATATGATGAGGGAGGGAGGCATTTTTTTTTTCTTTTTTACTGCACCCAAAACATGATGAGGCAGCTTTTTACATTGTACAAAACCTCAAAAAATGATGAGGGAGGTGATTTGGTGTTTATATTTTATTGATTTAGCAATAAAAAGGGTCAATGAGGCACCCTTGGAAGAGATGAGGGAGGGCCTGAGAACCAAGGAATTAATTTTTTTTTGCCTTGTGTGTGTAGTGTAAGGAGGGATAAATGATCAATCAAATAAATTTAAGCTATGGACAGTAGTAAATGAGATTTAACATTCCCTTGTACAATATATCTTGGTAAAATCTGTGGCATTTTTTTCTCAAACATTTTTTATTGCACAGAGCAGCAATGGTGAAACATGAGAATGCTAAATATAAAGGTCATTCTTTGCAAAAGCTACTGAAGATTAATTTACATTCAAATATGAAGAATTTCAAAGTGGTTGTGAATAGGGGAACAATAACAAAATAGATACTAGAACACATAAAACTTTCAGTGATTTTCATTCAGAATTACAGCCATTGAATTTGAGGTATAGACGATCAGATGAGCCAGCTTTGTCTGTCTAGTTGGCCTTAATCCAAGCTCTCATTCCCGGTCCTTGTGAAGGGGTAACATTAGAGCCCAGGGATGGATAGTCAGCTTCAATATTATGCATGCCTACGTGTTGGTTATAGTCTTTTTGTAGCAAAATTTGACGACAGGTTGTGCAAGTAACAAACTCCGTCTGGCTTTTCCATGGAGCAGTTGTACTCTTGCCACTGATTTTAAGTACTTTTTCAGAACTGGTTTTGGATTTCAAACATTTTTTATGTGCCTCTAGAAGCTCCTGCTGTTTTTCTATGTCTGGAAGCAAAACTAATAGCTCTGTGAAGATTTCCTCAAAGTTTTCTGACCCAATAAGTTCACTACACTTGTTGTAATATTCCATGGCAGACACATTTCCTCCTCTAAAATCACTTGAACTTGATTTGAATTTTGTAAACTTGTCCTCATCGTCTTGAAACACATCCTTGATTTTCATGACTAGCGCCTTGTTTCTAGCTTGGAAATCCTTGGGTTCCTCATATTGAAAGCTCTCAATAAACATAGCTGGACTATCAGTGCTGGGAACCTCACTACCATTGGAAAAAGAATCCATCAAGTTCTTCAAATTCAGATCTTTGGAATTTGCAAGAGAGGAAGATGGGAACCCTGGTGGTGGAGCTAGCCCTGAGGTGGGGAAGGACATAGAGGTCTGCGAGTTGTCAAAGCCTGGGGGAGGCTTACTTTTGGCTTTACTGAAGCCTGGTGGAGGGCCTTTGACAGCTGACAAAGCAGGGAAATCTGAAGAATCTAATCTACTTGACTTCTTCTCATTAGGCCTTACTGGGATAAATTCCTCCTCTGGTTTTTCTTCCAAAACTAGATCTGTAGCAAGATCTGAAACATGTTCAATAGGATCTTGGATTGGTGTTTTGGTTTTTGCTTTCTCTGAAGTAGTGACTTCCTTCTTCACAACAGGTGCTTCTTTACTAACCTTTTGAACATTCTTGTCTTGTGAACTTGATACAGAGTTTCCTAACAATGAGGTTGCTATATTATCCAGTGAGGCAGTAGTGCTGATTACACTGTCACTTCCCAACTTCGTAGCACTAGTAGACGTTTTCGTTTTTTTATTAGTCTTTTTCTTTTTCTTGGTCTCTTTATATGCCTCTGAAATTAACTGTTTATTATTCTTATCACCACTTATATTATCAATATTAAATTCATCTGAATCATTGTTTATATCGAACCAATCAATAGGTTTCTCTTTTTTCATTTTCTTATTAGAATTCTCTGTCACATTCCTAAACCAGTCAGTATTAGCATTCTCAACTCCAACTGACGATAATGAAGGAAAGTCATTGTCTGAGGTAAACGTTTGATTTCTTGGATTCCTTTGTTTCTCTTTTTTAGTTTCTCCTTTCCTAGAGGGATCACTCATCAAAACCTCTAATGGCGGACGACTAGGTTGAGGTGTTTCAGTTTTTAAGCTCTTTCCACCAGAAGCAGGTTTTTTGCCCCATTGGCTTATAGTAGCAGAAGATGCTCTTTTTGATTTACCTGAAGGTAAACTTGGAAAATCCTCTCCTACAGGTCCTGATTTTGACACTACACTGTATGAATTTGGCACAGGCTTTGTAGCTTTTGTAACATTTACCATGATGTCTGGTTTGGACGGATTCACTAACAGAGATGGGAAATCATTCACAGACATTGCTCCATGCTGAACAGATAGGTTGGAGGTCTTGGCTAACCTTTGTGCAAGTGAGCTACTTGTTTTCTCTGAATCAGAGTCTACATTAGCAGGGGAATCAGACCGCAGAGGTTTCGCTTCTTCTTTTATTTTACCTAGACTGGGGAACTGTTCAGTGTCGTGCAGCAGTTCTGGTGAGGGTGTCTTTCTCTCCTCCTCTACTGCCTTAGACTGCTTCATTTTCTCTTCTGTCATGACACTCAAGGAAGCCTGGATTGCTCTATTCATGTCCTCATCCCTGTCAACAAAAATCTATACCTAGAAATCTGTAACGTCTTTTTATAAAATATCAATATTCGATGATATTTTTTTTCAACCGGTGGATTTCTTAAAGGAATTGACTTGTCTATTAAACAAAAAGAACAGATAAGCAGAAGGTCCAGAGGTTGAAAATTTGCACTTAAGAATAAATATGTTTCTCTCCATATCCACATTCATTTTTTAACACATATATTCATTTCATTATAAATATTTCAAGCAAATATGTTCAGTAACATTTATTAACCTTGGTATTTCTTGTATCTTTTTATCTGCAGATAAGAGAAACAAATCAGAACTTTTTTCCTTACCTAAATCTATCCTTCACTGATCTCCCTTGTCCTCTCCCTTGGGCTCCACCCCTTTGTACAGGTGCATCTTCATAGTCATTGGCAGTTATGACTCCTAGTGAATGAAAACATTATAATAATCATCAAATATTTCTTTTTTCTATCTGTAGGATATGCCTGCACATGTTTTAGAATAGTAAGACTGTTGTAACGCCACCTTGTAAGTAATGTTTGCTTGCCCCCTCCCATCTCTGGATAAAAAAAAAAGTTGGGTCAGTAAGTAAGTGGAAAAAATCCCCCCTCCCCGAAATTTTCAATATCAATGGCTGAGTGTTCCAAATATACCAAGAGAATTGGATGTTTACGACACACTAGCCCTCTCCCCTCATCATACATGCAAAGAAATTGAACAGACACTGCAAATAATTAGAATTTTCTAAGTCCAAGGGGCATAACTCTGTCAAAAATTGCTCAATCATACCCAAAACAGAACCTTACCAAGATATCTGTTTACCAAATTTCAGTTCAGTATATGTGCAACCTCTGTAATGAAAACTGTTGGTGGACCCCCACACAGCAGAAAAGCAATACATTTTCTCCCTTCTTCAAAGGGAAGCATAAAAATAAAAGGTATTATAACACTCGAAATAGTTGTTGATGGAATGAAAAAATAAAAAAAAATTGTCATTTCCTGAAAATTAAAAAAATTTGAGTTTGAGCATTTTTAGTCAGTTGAACACAAAAGGGCAAACAAACAATTTTTTTTAAATAAGTCAAAATACATGGGTCTTCCAACTTAAAATTACAGATTTTATAGACTTTAAATTTAAATTGACAATTTTAATTTATGCCATTATATTCTCATTTAAACCATATGATAAAATTCCAGCAAAAATTTAAGCATTGAATTCATATTTTTGGATGTTGTCGGTCCTATAACACACCTGGCAGTGCCGAGAAACTGAATACCGAGTATTAGTGTGGTATGATAAATTTGTCGGCACGGCCAGGTGTGTTATAGAACCGACGACATCCAAAAATATGAATTCAATGCTTATATTTACATTCTCTAATTTTCCATCTTCTTAATTGTTTATTTTGTTCACGTTTAATGTGAATTTAGCACCCTTCTGTACTGGTGTGCTTAACAGTCATAACAGCCATTTGTGACATTCAAAAGTTAAATAACGCAAATGAACAATGCAAGGAAAAAATGGCAAATTAATTTTTTTATGCACATTTGTTGTGTTTAAGGTTTATCTAACAGGGTAGCTGTTTTATTTAAATTAAATTGAGTCAAAATAATATACATTTTGGTGTTCCTAGATTTTATAATACTACAACCTTTATCTCTCCTCCTGTTCCTGGGAGCCAGCTGGATATCCACTTCTATCGTCCTGGCTTGCTTTGCTTGTGACTTGGACAACGTCCTTGAGTGGTTATTTGACTGGTGAGCTTGGAAGTCTATTTTGGATCTGAAGGCGTGAGTGAACTGGGTATTGGCACAATCCCCTTCCTCACACAGAAAGTGCTTTGCTCGGAAATGGTCTTTAAGGTCTGCATAATCACTGGAAATTTAGAAGGATAGGATTAATTCATTTTATCATATTTGTTTTTCACATAAGTTTAGACACAATTAGTGTATGAAGTTTAGACATATTTAGTGTATCAAGTTTAGAAATATTTAGTGTATAAGTCTAATCCCTAATTCTCACACATATATCAACATTTTAAAAAGTATCCTTACATAAAAGAAGCACTATCATGTAGCAAAGTGATACATGTATCTATATAATACATGTATATGTGGATTTCATATATCGTCAAACAGATTTACTAATCATACACTCTATCTATGTCTAGCCTTTTTTAAATAAGTAAATACCTGTGTGATATCTACAACAATATATTTTTTTTCATTAACAATCAAACCTGTAGTAATCATGGCTGCCATCTGTTTCACAAAAGTGACAATAATAATGGTCTTTTCTCAGATGTTTGAAGAGCTCATCATTATCCATGTAGCGTTCGTCACAGAATTGACAGAGCGGATGTCCCTTATACGAGGTGTCGTCTTTATCACCTTGACGACGGTGCTGTGCCAGATCCTGACGGTTGTAAACCTTCCGTTCAGATGGGAAAATCTGTATAAATGTTACAGAAAATATTGCATGAAGGCACTGGTCATTTTGTGACAACTAATACTCAAAACATATGTTTACTACAGAACAGATTTGAAGATTGCTGTTTGTTTAATATTCACAACATTTGTTTATTTGATAACACATGATTTTCTGTCTCATAAAACCTTTTTTAGAAACCAAAATATCTTACCTTCAAATGGTCCACACACAAACTACAGAAAAAGAGTGTGTGATTCTTTGAGAGATGCTGCTGTAATGCTTTCAAATTTCTCTCTAACATCTTGCATTTTGGACACCTGAATTCATTAAGCTTTTCAAACTTTTTCTGAATCTGCCCGTCTTCAAAAAATATTTTGTACTTTCTGTTTGGGATGTAGCCATGTCGGGGAATTTCCGAACATTTAACTTTGTTGTGGACCATGTAAACCTGTTTAAAAAGAAATAAATATAATTACATCTTATTTTGTTCATCTTGGTTATACACATTGTACTGCACAAGTGATTTTCAGTTGTTCAATATATTCTTATATTCTGATTTTTTTGTTCAGAAACCTAGAAATTGAATTGAAAGAATTTGTATCTCTTTTATAACTAGTATTCACTCTACATGCTCTAGCTATACAACCCTTATTTTTTTCACTTTCCACTAATTTCAATATATAAACAAAATAACAATATTGCTTTTGGAATTTAAATAATTGTCGGTAACAGTAATGTATGGGGCACTTTAATTTAGCATGTAACTTGTGATGCCTGACAGTTACTTTAAAATTTTTGACAAACAAAAAATTTCTCATTTTGACCTCTGCCACCCCCAACCCCTCCCAGGAAATCATTTGTCATGAGTTATTTTTGAAAATAACCTGTTTATGCCTCTGACTTATTAACATATACAGAAGACTTAATTGTTTTTCAAACAGTTTATATATTTATAGAAATAAAAAGGGGAAACGGTTAACCCTAGGTAACAAGTTTTAAAAGAAAATTGTCATTTGCCATTAATTTTTCATTCAAATGTTTAATCCTCCATCTTGCATTCCAACCCTTAAAGTTGAAATTTGCAAATATCATCTTCCTTTTTCGTGTCAGTTATCAAAGTTATGAAATGACGCAGGTTTTCCGAAAACTGTTTTACCTTTTGCTTCCACTTTGATTTTCTTTGAAAAGAGTTCAATATTTTGTCTACGACATAGATAAAAGTATTGAACTCTGATGAAAAAGAATTAAAAGTGAAAGCAAAAGTTGAAGCAGTATTCAACATACTGATTGGCCTACATTACGTCTTGCACATATATAATCATCATATATGCCAAAAAAATTAAGCACATATTTCTCTATTTAATAGACTATGTAGTCTGAGTTATTTTTATTTTTTTATTTATTTTATGCTTTATGTAAATTTTAAAAATATATATAATATTGAACAATATATATTTGACCAGTTGACTTTTGTCTCATATAACTGAAACTAAAATAATGAAGAAATATAATTTTCCTTTTATGTTTTACACTGATAATTATTGTGATCTATATGGACTTTAAAATTTACCTGATTCAAATCAGTCCTGCAAATAGGACAATACATGTGGTTACAGAGTACACGCATTCTGGTTGAACATCGGTAACATATCGGATGATCGCAATGACCGATCGCAAAAACCTGCACTACCTCGTGGCAAACAGGGCATAAATCGTGGTCAGTTGAAATGGGATCCATCACTCTGCTCGGCATTAATCTGTGTTTTGTTGTTACGTAATAAAAATTGTTATGATTTTGTCAAACTTAAAACTGAAGTAGTGCCTGTTGGTGACGTGTATGGCATTTTATAACCAAAAGTAGACAAAAATAGCTTCAGTAACGTAACAGTACTCAGTAGTCTCTCTTTCCGCCCGATGGTGCAATATGCGTTCTACGTCACCAATTTAGGTGGGTAGTGATTAGACTAGGTAGTGATTTTATATTCTATCTTTTTTAATGCAATGCATTTGACCGATACTTTTGTCATTTTTTTAAATTAAAAAAAAGGGATCAAACGAATATCCCCCCTTAAAAAAAATTATAAAAATATTCGTTTCCAGAACGAACGATAACTCTGTACAATGAATACATTACCCTGACGTCATTTCCTCGTGAGTGTGTGTATGTTCTGCTACAAATAAAACCATGTCTGCAGGAGGTGGTACCAGTGGTGCCTTTGGGGCAGGAATGGCCGGTGCTCCTTTTGATCCCGTGCAGTTTATAAAGAAACCACAAGTTATACTTAGGCTTGGAAGCACGGTATGAACGAATGACGATTGTTACCTTCTTAGAGATTGTCAATATCAAATGAAATTATCTCCCTTTTCATTCTACGATCAACGAAAATCAGTCAACAGATGATAGAATTACCATTTAGACTAAGAGCGAGTTATGAATTTTAGTCAGTAATGTTTTAACCATGTTAACAGAGAAATTATTTTAAAGTTATAATAACGAGGTGATAAATTGTAGATTATTGATGTTAGTAATATTTTTATCATGGACTAGATCTGTTTTTTTTTTTCTGCAAGGATTTTTAATCTATTTTTAGATAAAAAGTATTAAAATCATGTGATCTTTTCTTCTCTGATTATTCCACACAATGACACCAGTATGTTTGTTACATAAATAGACAAGTGCTATTGTGTTCTTCATGGAAACTTTATATTAAAAAAAATCTATTGCAAAATACATGCTCTCACATGATTTGGTCTTGCATGATTGGATAAATAATGTAAGATTATCATGTCATCATAACTAAATTATTAACACACTGGTTGTAGACATTGACATTGGCAAGGTCAATGTACATCCTTATGGTAGAAAGCTCTGTGGTTAAAGTCAGATGGTAAGATGTTTCACAGTACAACTACAAGCGGTTAATTTAAATTAATACAGCATATACACACGGAGAGCTGCAAAACTTGCAATGCATAAATATTTGAACCATTGGAACTTCTAGTCTCTTCAGTGGTGGGTTCAAACTTGACCTGTACAACATGCAAAAACATTGGTTTTCACTGAGGTTTAATAAGTCATTAAGTGAATTAAATTTATATCATTAGTATAACAGGATTGTCCCTATAGAAGAATTGAAATAGAAGGGGACATTTTGGAAAGTCAAAGGGGATCTGGGGTTCCTCTCCTAATTGGGAGTTTAGGATGAGTACCAAAATAACCGGGAGATCACATCTTTTAAGTTTTATATAGGTGGGGAAATTCCCTTGAGTGTCATGACTGTCATCTAGATTTTTTTTTGCACAACAAATGCATGTTACAGTCTAGCTGTGCAAGTAAAACTAGTGATAGCTAGTCTTTTTTTTATCATGTTTATACCTAACTATACTATTTTTTAAACAAGCAATTGAAAACACAAGGAAAATTAAAGAAACTATTTTTTGTTAATATTTACAATATTTTATGGTTTCTATTTCAGCTGTTTTCAATCATCGTGTTTGGGTGTATATTAGCTGAGGGGTGGTATGCAGGCCACTGTCAAATGAATGATGACCCTAATGCATGTGGTTATGGAACAGGAATTGGAATCATTGCTTTTCTACTCTGTTTAGGATTTTTAGTTCTTGATGCTGTATTTGAAAACATCAGCAGTGTGCAGTATCGAAAATATGTTGTCCTCGCTGATATGGCTATCTCTGGTAAGTAACTTTATAACCAGGAAAGAAATTATCAGATATAATTATATCTAGGTCAGAGAGTAGAATTTTGACAGCAATTTGAATGGCATGTTTTTTTTCAGTAGGTTATCTTTTAAGATAAATGTATCTCATTGCAATCACACAGTATTATTGTAAGGTGTACCAATATATTTTATGCTTGTACAAACATGTCATCAGAAAAATTATCATTTTAATATACATAATGCAAGGTATTAAAATGTCCATATTAATTTTTAGCTCACCTGAGCCGAAGGCTCAAGTGAGCTTTTCTGATCAAAATTTGTCCGTTGTCTGTCGTCGTTGTAGTCGTTGTTGTCATCATCGTCGTAAACTTTTCACATTTTCATCTTCTCCTCAAGAACCATTGGGCCAATATCAACCAAACTTGCCACAAAGTATCCTTAGGTGAAGGGGATTCAACTTTGTTCAAATGAAGGGCCACACCCTTTTCCAAGGGGAGATAATTATGAATTAGAGAAAAAAAATAATGGCATTTAAAAAAAATCTTCTTCTCAAGAACCACTGAGCCAGGAAAGATGAAACTCATATGGAATCATCCTCAGGTAGTGTAGATTCAAATTTTTACAAATCATGACCCTTGGGGCAAGGGTGGGGCCAAAATGGACGACCAAAATTTTACATAGGAATATATAGGAAAAATCTTTAAAAATCTTCTTCTTAAGAACCACTGGGCTAGGAAAGATGAAACTCAAGTGGAATCATCCTCAGGTAGTGTAGATTCAAGTTTGTTCAAATTATGACCCCCGGGGGTAGGGTGGGGCCAAAATGGCAGACCAAAGTTTTACATTGGAATATATAGCAAAAATCTTTAAAAATCTTCTTCTCAAGAACCACAGGGTCAGGAAAGATGAAACTCATGTGGAATCATCCTCAGGTAGTGTAGATTCAAGTTTGTTCAAATCATGACCCCCTGGGCTAGGTTGGGGCCAAAATGGCCGACCAAAGTTTTACATAGGGATGTATAGGGAAACCTTTTAAAATCTTCTTTTCAAGTACTTCAAAGCCATGGTTAGTGATATTTATATGGAATCATCCTCAGGTAGTGTAGATTCTAGTTTGTTCAAATCATGACCCCATGGGGGTTAAAATTCAAGCCCCCCCCCCCCCCCCCTTCAGTAAACTTTCAGTTCTGATCTGATATGTGCTTTTTCCTAGCCAATGTGCTCAGGTGAGCGCTGTGGCCCCTGGGCCTCTTGTTGTATATATGAAGGTTGATTGGAAAGTTCGTGGACCATGTCAATGTTAATTATACAATATTCAAGAGATTTGAAATGAATATACCGTATACTTGACGGTTGTAAAAAAAATTTAGTGTTTTGTCTGCTCAAAGGTATGCCAATAATTTTAGCGTAATTTATTTAAGTGGACACAGGCTTTCAGCTCTTTCCAGATGGACACTAAAAAGAGTACTGACTATTTTAGAGATGAAAATTTTAGCGGATTATCATCCAAATGCCAAAATTAGCACCCCACTGAAATAACCAGCTATACGGTATTATGATGTATAAAAATAGCAAACTCAACAGCATTGTAACGTTAACGTCAAAAACATTTTGTAGCATCTTGAGATTCTCAAAAAATACTGTCCATATGCATTTCACACTATGGCCAATATCAGTGCACTCATTAAAAATAACATTTCTGTATAATTTGAAATTTATAATGCAAACAATTGTTTTAGATGCATAATTTTGTTTATCAATATTATTTATTTTTCTATACTGCTTGACTGACTGACTGTGCTTTACTTTGAAGCATCTAACTCTAACCATGACTTACCTACAATTTTGAAAGGTTTTGATCAGCTTTTTAATCATAATCCGTTATCTCCCAGGTCATTATCATATGATACAGTCTAGCTCTATCAATAAAAGGCTTTCATTTATAAAAACAGCTTAAATAATTCCATTCCACTTCAATATCAAAGATGAAATGATATTTAATATATTTATGCTCCCGTAATTGAAGAGTGGGGAGTATATAGATTTTGCCCTGTCTGTTTGTTTGCCTGCAAAAACATTAACCTTCCCCATAACTTTGGAGTGGATGGAGCTATGGTTTTATTTTACATGTGTATTCCTTGTGAGAAGACCTTTTGTTGGGTACAAATATATTTAACCTCTTGACCTTGGCCTTGGAGTTTTACCCACTATTGCAGAAATTACTTTTTAACCTCGGCCATAACTTTTGAACAGTTGGTGCCAGCTAGGGCTTTCATATTTCACATATTTATACATTGTGACAAGACAATTCCATGGGTATGAATATTTTTGACCTTGACCTTAGCTTTTGATCCACTTTTAAAAAACTTCAACCTGTAGCCCTAACATTTGAACAGTTGGTATTAAAGCTTTCAAATTTCACAGATTGATGTATTTCTTAATTATGACAAGACCTTCGTGTAGAACCAACAATCTTGACATTTTGACCTCAGAGTTTGACCTACTTTTGAAACACAATAATCTTTGTCATAACATTTGAACAGTTTGTGCTAGGGCTGTTATATTTTGCCTGTACATGTATGTATTTCTTTTGACAAGTTCTTCCCTTGTGTACCTTTAATTTTGAACCCTATGACCTTGAGCTTGGAGTTTGACCCACCTTTTGAAAACATTAACCTTGACCATAACTTTTGAATAGTTGGTGCTTGGGCTTTCATGTTTATCAATATTACCAGGTATATCTATTTACACAATTTAGTCCTTTCTCTGGGTTTCTCTGGGTGACATCTTTGATGTTGGAGTTTGACTTATGTTTGAGAAATTTTAACCTTCGTCATAAAATGCCATACAGGGGCATCAATGTTTCACAAACACATCTTGTTTGTCTATTTTTGAAAAAGAAATACTACGTACTCAAACCTGATGAATAAACATTTGCTGGAAATTCAGCTTCATCATGTTCATATTTACATTATTTTTCAATAAAATTGATTTATTTACTATTTTACAAGATATTATTTAACTCACATATATTCGATGTGCTCATTCATTGTACCTTATCAAGATTATTTCAAGATACACTGAACTGTAGATGATTCTCTTAACTCCACTTATCTGAATTTCAGTGGCTCATTGTGAGTTCTACTGTACAGCAAGTTTGTAATTATGTTTTAGCTTTGTGCTGAATTAAAAAAAACAATGAATATACATGTTGCATTAAATGAAATGTACATATATGGGAACCAACATGCCAACAAGGAAACCAATGCATCAACAGACTTTTCTATGAATACATCACTGTCAGATACACCCATAGAATCATTGATTGGGGTCAGAGCTTAGAAATTTGCCTTCACTTCTCCTATAAGGACTTCTCTGTGGTGTAACACTTATTGACAAGGATGCAGGGCAGCAAAAACATTTTCCAGAAGCTCCAAGGATCCTCCTTATACTGAAGAGAAAAATCAATAGCCTCTGGCATGGTCTTCAGATCAATGTTGATACTCTTTGCATTAACACCCAAAGTCCAGTTAATAGAGAGCAAGTTATGGATTAGGTTTTACTTTGTATAGGAAAATGTTTTGATGTGGGAAAGCCAATGACTGAATAAACAGAAATGGATTTTGATCATTTTCAGATAGCCTGCTCATTTATACTTATTGCACATATTTGATCTTGAATGTGATGAGATGTTTATTTTGTCCTAGTAATAGCTGAGTTTCTTTAGTTAAAAAAAAAATCATTTCTGAGCTATGAATTTTACATTTCAATTTCTTGAAAAGGAATGTTTAATATTGATGATGATTTTTAGGACTGTGGACTTTCCTGTGGTTTGTTGGATTCTGCTACATGACAGATGCCTGGAGAAAATCAGATGGAAACAACCATTCATATGTAGCTCCTCATGACCATGGCAAAAACAATATCCAGGCGGCAATAGCTTTTTCCTTCTTCTCTATTATAACTTGGGTATGAGTACTGAGTCATTTTCAGTCAGTTAATTTAAAAAGCAGGAAGAAACATTATACTGTGAGCTTTCCTTTTATCCAGTCTTTTAGTCTGTTTTCATTCATAATCTAGTGTTTGCTGAATAAGGAAATAATTTGTGGATGAAACAGTTTCCATTGATTAAAATATAAAAACAATGATTATTTTTTATCTCTTTCTTCAGTGGCAAGTCTTTCCTTCCTGAATTTTGTGAATAATGATATTTCTTAGTTATAGAACAATTTTAGGTTATAAAGTTAAATTTATGATTTGTTGTATATTTAAAATCGCTAATTTATTTAAGCACTTTGTTTACTAAATTAAAGAAAATGCCATCTGGAATGTAAATTATTTTTTCTTAAATACAGGGAGGTATAACTTTCTTTGCTGTTCGTCGTTATCGTGAGGGATTTGAGGACGCCTTTGCCCCGAGAAGTGGTTACGATGATCAGACCCAGTCTTCTCCTTACTCCTCCTTCCCTGGTAGTGAGACGGGCGACCCCTATCAACAGCCTCCCTTCACCTCCCAGAAAGAGGCTCCAAACTTCCAACAGACCCCTACATATTAATTTAGAGATTATCCAACAAAATCTTCAAAGGACAAATGTGTACCTATAAGTCTGATGTATAAGTTAGTGTAGAGGAGTTACATGTTGATAGGAGTAGATAAGTTATTACTGCTTTTTATGTGAGAATTTTTCATTTTACAGTCTTCTTGTATGTTTTAGATGTGTGGAGCATAAGTATGTTAGGATTATGCTGTGTAATTGAGATGAGTTGGAAAAAGATGTTTTTGGCATATCTGATGTCATTTCATGTTTTAGCACTTTGGATAATTAATGGGTGTGTAATTTTGTTTTCTGGATCTCACTAGAAGCTCACTTATTTATTGTTAAAGTAAGCATTTTTTATCAACATATCTTTGATTAATAAGGCACTTTCAAGGGACATTTATGTTACATGTATACAATATGGGTTAATGCCCCCCCCCCCCCAAAAAAAAAACTGTGAGAGAAGACAAATTTTATTATTGTTGATTGTGGTAAATTATATAATATGATGTAAGCTCTAATTGTATTAATTATTGAAATGCCAAAAAAAAATAAAGCATTTTCAATTCTTTACATTTTATTGGTGAATAGAGTATAAGAAATGTAGAACAGAACATGCAGTGTCTTTGCATTACAATATAACATTCAAGGATGAAATATTCTTTAATATCTGTGTAATTGTTGTAATTCATAGGCCAGTACTACAAAATAATATTCCCTTTTCTACCCCTGAAGATACATGTATTTGGGAAGGGGAATGACCATTATATATTGAAGAAAATTTAACAGTGACTTGGGTGTAGCAAAGGACTATAATCCGTATTCGCCAATATGTGATCCTCAAATCAAAGTTTGATAGGAAAAAATCTAACTCACCACTTGAAAGAATTTGAAAGAAAACTGTTTTATTTAAGATTTTTTTATAAATAAAGTATACATGTATATATATGCACATTTCAATGGATTTTCCAAATACGAATTGAATTTGGGCAGAAATCTGCTTTTATAACTAAATTAAGTTCTTTACAGCAGAAATATGTTGTTGTAAATTTATCATTTTGCTGGACAAAAAATTGAATTTGCATCAAAGTGGATTGAACCCTTTGAGAGTATATTGAAGTTAAATTCCAGTTGGGGTCATATAGGCCTTATCACTGTAGTTTCTTTGGCATGCATGGACAATAATTTCTTCCTCATTAAGCAATGTATCACAAGACAGACCATCGAATCAAAAGGGGGTCACAGTAACTTTGATATGGGGAATATAAAATAAGTGGCACACCGTGCTCATGAACAGATAATGTTATTTGGAATAATTTTGGAAGTCCTGAGCATTCATTTTTCTGTGAAAATGTTTGATATTGTGTATTTAAAATGTTTATTATGATGTATACCAATATGGTTTAATTTATAGAAATCCGTAAACAGCGTAGGTGCTGTTTTATATATGTATGTTATGTTGTGTAGATTAGATATACTTTACATTCCATTCTGTGCTTTCATTTCCTTGCATAAATTTCCATATATTACATGTTAGGAATGACTGAAAACAAAAATGAAACAGAATCCAAACAAATAGTTGTTTATGTAAACAGTTGATTAAGCATTTACAGTAACTGGCTTTTTTGATGAAAGAGGTACCCATTTTATCAAAATTATTTGATTTTTGGAAAAAAAAAATGGGAGAGATGTAACATTTTACCATGCAGTGCTCAATCCTGATCATTTGAAATTTAATGTCTCAATGTAAGACTTTAATAAATCAAATGCTTAAATAAGGAATGGAAAACATTCATACATGTATATTGGTCAAGAATATAGCATAATCAATTCATGTAAGGCAAAAATATTTTCAATTTAAAATTTATATGAATATTACTATATCATGTATCTTTTTATTGTTTACTGCTTTTTTCCTCATTAATAAAAGTCATTGCACAATGTATATCATATTTGCAATATATGACTATCAACTCTGTTGCAATACTACAGAATTACTATCAAGTCTAGTAATCTTTAGAATTCTCTTCTGTCTGTGTTACTGTGTTAACAATGATTCGATTTAAATTTGGAACCGTGGCCTTCCTTTGGAGGAAAAAAGGAGAATGTTGAGTATTTACAGAATTGGTGGTTTTCTGACTTGAACAATGCATTGATACAGATTTTGGAGAAAGATTTCACTGTATAGGTAGTATAATAAACATTAGTTCTCTGATGCTGGAATAATGAAAAAGCATTCTCGACTTTGTTCTGTATACTTTGTTTATACTTTTGTTTATGTGTATTACTTGAGATGTTTAGATGGTGTGAAAGGGTTTATAAGCGTGAATATAATTTTTTTTTGTATAATAGTTGAGGGGTGTATTTCTTTACAGTTTTTCTCTTCATTGTAGTTAATTCATATACACTTTCATTCCTTTTTACTGCATTGGTTGTGGTTTCTAATATTTAAAATTTGATACATGTATATGTATGTATTTCAATCCAGGATGCTGCAGTGCTTATTTTTTGTTTTTGTTTTTTTTTTGTATGAAACGGGAGGAAATTTGATGATACATTATGTCTCTATACATTTGTGTGGGAATAATTCAAGAAAGGAAACTACTTTTGATACATCTACTAGTATTTTCTTTTTATCTAAAGCTTAAAACCAAATTTCATGCAAAAGAGGAAATTAAAATACAAATCGTTAGAATAAATATGAACATATTATAAGAATATGAATAGAATGTGATCATTTTATTAATAACAAAAGGTACTATGGAAAATTTTGTGTGGAAGATTAAATTTGCTCATATGAATATTATATAAAATTATAGATATAAAAGTAAGATTTAATTTATTTTAGAATATATGCAATAGTTATCTATTGGTAGAATAAAGTACCTAATACAAAATGTGTTTGACTGTATATTTTAACCTCAATTTAAGAGGCGTTTATTGACATAGTGAAATCCAAAATGCATAACTTATTGTAATACATTTAAAACTTGCGGTAATATTGATAAACATTTTAATTCTGTTGAAGAGTTACTTCCCTTCATATTAAAAGTTCAGAATATCTGTTGAAAATAACTGTGCTTGAATATGAGAAAGAGGAACAATATTGATTTCTGTCCCCGAGAGAAAACCAGTCATAAATTTAATTTAACAATATTAAGTGTTGTGTTCAGTAGCTAATGTTTGGTAATTTGAAAATTTTTGGAAACGAAATGCATTTTCTATTTGTCACGTGTATTTTTATCATTTTGGCTTTTATGTGAGTTATCACCTGTAGTAGTTAAAGAGACTATAGACTTGTGATTGTTTAGTGAGTAATATTTTACATAGGGTACAGACATGTAGTATTAGGGAGGGGGTGAATCCTCTCCCTTCTTTCCCCTTAACATAGCCTTTTACTTTTGATAATGTTCATTGAGAGACTGGTTACAACCCCCCACAACTTTTTGCTGTAGCATAGTTTAGTAATTGTAAAGTATTAATAAAATTCATTGTAAATGATACAACCAAACACCCCCATCCCCACAAACTTTGATTTTCAGATTTGGACAATCTCCCTCTTTTTTTGGCTTGTTAAAGATGTTAGATAAGTTTTAAGATTTTTTTCTGTCCATTGCCCAACTTTAAATATGATATTTAATGCCTGAGGTTCTGGAGGAGAAACATCATAAGCTGAAAGAAATTGAATTTCTCATGTAAGGGTTGAATATGTCTTTTTGTAAAATTGCATGAAACATATGGAGATTTAATCTGTACACTTGCAGATGATTAGAACTTTTATATTGTACCCCAACCATTCTAATTTTTTTTAATTACATTTCTAGTGAAATAAATGTTGAACAGTTAAGTGATCTTCTCAGATACAAGTTTTGAAAAATTACAGTGATTGTAAGTTGAGTGTACATGCATTTCTTTTTGGTGCACTTGATTGTCAACAGGAAATGTCCTACAAAAGTCTTTACCAAATATTGCACATTTTGTCAAAAATCTTATTTTATGTTACTAGTACTTTCTGTTGCATAATATGAACCAGAATATATACAAGGCATGTACTAGATTTATGTTACTGCAGTAAAATATCATAAAATCATTCTTTGTATGTTATTATCATTAGATATGAAATAAAGTCTTCATTAAGATTTTATATGTGTACGAGAATTATGCTGTACAGTTAAGTGATCTCACGATTAAAGGGTTAAACCATTACTGAACTTGACAATAAGCTGGTACTACTGTCAATGTGGCCTTCCTAATTTCCACACCAGTCTTTTTGAAGATTTCAATTCATCTTTAAGAATTGATACTGTACATCATCGACACCATCACGTACTACCAAACACTTCATTTTTTTGTCATCCTATTCTCGCATCTTCTCCAATACAAGAGCAATTCAAAAAGCCACTAGACAATAACAAGGCAAGAATATTATCTATAAACTTCCAGAGTAGTAGACCCAATCGTGAGGCGTTCTGGAGCATGCTGGAGGACACTGACCCTGACATCATCTTGGCCAATGAGACATGGCTCAACCATCTACGAGAGAGAGGTCCTTCCTGATAACTATGTTTTTGCTGCTAGGAAAGACGGTCCAAACAGCTCTCATGGTGGAGTAGCCATCATTACTAAGGCTAATATAGATGCCTCAGAGATCGTGTTAGATACACCCACAGAAATGGTTGCTGCATCAATCCCTTCTAAGGATAACAACAAACCCTTCATTGTGTGCAGCATTTATAGACCCACAAACAATGATGTGGACTACAAAAAAATGTGTTCCACCCTAAAGGAGTTACATCGTAAACATCTGGATCACACACTATGGATTGGCGGGTACGCAAATCTTCCTGATATCAACTGGGCATGTGATTCAGTTGAGGGATATAACTATCCAACTACCATCAGTCAACAGTTTATAGACAACTTTAGGGATCTTAGATGTCAGCAAGTCATCGACTTCCCAACATGTGGTAATAACATCCTTGGCATCTTTGCAACAAATAGACCATCCCTTCTTAATAAAGACCGCCGAAACATGGCTGAAAAATCGCCGACTCGGCGTTAAAAATATTCAATCAATCAATCAATCTTAATAAAGGAAGTCCAATTCCAGGACTTAGTGATCATGACATAGTATTGATTGACATCAACACTACGCCACATCGACGCCGTCCAGTGAGGAGACTCGTATATCTTTGGTCCAAAGCAGACACCGAGTCTATTAGTTCTGATTTTACGGAGAATCTGGTCAAATTTCAGCAACATTCCATCAACACTGCACCACTAGATGTGACGTGGAATGACTAAGAACATCTGCACTCATTCCATTAATGCACACGTACCATCAAAGTTCACTTCAAGTCGTTTCATTCAACCATGGTGTGTTAGAAACATCCGGAGACTCAGTAGAAGGAAACGACGTGCACATAGGAGGGTCCGCATAACAAACACCCTGAATGATTGGAGAAAATATCGTGAGGCCCAGAGTACCAACAGGAAAGACTGTAGAAATTATACCTCAAATATATTAACAAAATGTTAGGAGAGGAGGGCCATTCCAGCAAGAAGCTATACTTGTACATCAACAGTAAGCGCTGTGATAGTTCAGGTGTCTCCCCTTGGCAGAACGAGGGTTTGCTTCACTCCAGTCCAAAGAATAAGGCAGAGATCTTGAATCAGCAGTTTTCATCTGTCTTCCATACTGAGTCACTTAGTAATCTACCGGACCTTGGTCAATCAACCTACCAAGGGGTAAATAACATCAAAGTCACAGAAAAAGGTGTCCTCAAACTATTGCAGAACCTGAACCCAAACAAGGCTAGTGGACCAGACAACATATCAGCCAGATTTTTGAAAGCAATGGCAACGTCAGTATCTCCTATACTAACCATGATATTCCAATCATCTTTAGACCAAGGGAAAGTCCCAGATGATTGGAAGACAGCATATGTCACTCCATTATTCAAGAAAGGAGACAAATCCAAAGCATCTAATACCGTCCAGTGTCTCTCACATCTGTATGCTGTAAGACCTTGGAGCATATAGTCCATAACCGTGTCATTAATCACCTTGAGAGAAATAACATCCTATCAGACCAGCAACATGGTTTTAGGAAGAGGCGATCATGCGAAAGTCAACTGATAATAACTATCCATGATCTAGGAAGTAGCCTCGACCAACGCCAATAGGTAGGTGCAATCCTACTTGACTTCAGCAAAGCCTTTGATAAAGTTCCCCACCATCGATTAAATTAGCCCTCAAACTGGAGCACTATGGTGTGAGAGGATGAACCCTGGAATGGATCAGAAGCTTCCTAGCCGACAGAAGCCAACAAGTAGTTGTTGATGGAGAGATGTCATCAGCTGCTCCTGTAACATCTGGAGTACCCAGGGCACAGTGCTTGGTTGACATCAATGACCTACCATCCCGAGTCAAACCAACAGCAAGGCTCTTTGCTGATGATTGTCTACTTTACCGTAGGATAGCTAATGAGGAGGACACAATCACTCTCCAGTAAGACTTGATCCATCTAAAAATATAGGAGTCTGAGTGGCTGATGAGCTTCAACCCAGAGAAATTGGCCTCAATTATACGCATCACCAATAAAAGGCATATCTTTTGACTAACGTTTGTACATCCATGGCCAAACTTTGCATTTCACCGAACCAAAACAAAGTATAAAAGTCGTAATGAAATAACAACAAGCTCAATTGAATAATCTTCTCATTTACTTTGGTAACAACATTACCAGGACCATATAAAACTCAAGGGAACGCGACAAGACATACACCACTGCTTTCCTCAGTCGTAACCTTTCTTGTTGCCCACGGTCCATCAAGGCAACCAGCTATAAGACACTAGTGAGACCTCAGGTGGAATATGCCTCTACAGTACCGGGTATGGGATCATATCAACAAGACCCACATTATTAGGATAGAGGTGGTGCAACACGTTACATCATGGACGACTACAGCAGTGAGAGCAGCGTAACATCCAATCTCAATCAACTCCATCTTGATACCCTGCAGTCCAGCCGGATGACATCACGAGCCACCATGATGTACAGGATTGTAAATGGCTACATTGACATACATGTACCATCTAGTCATTTACATCCTGTCAACAGCTGTAACACTAGGGGACATAATATGAGGTTCTTACAACTATTTTGCCACCTAAAATGATGATCAGGTATATTCCAGCTGCATAAATCTGGAAGTTGACTTACAAAAGCCAAAGTGTCAGCTTACCATATACGAGGCCTTCAAAAAGTAATCAGCCACAGATCCTACCCATTTTAATTAATGAAGAAATTTTTATCCAGATTTTAACGAGGCCTTCCTTAGCATGATTTTAACTTTTTAAACATGTGCGATTATATACAAAGTGCAATTTGGTGCCAGGCACATTACGTCAAGAAGAACGCGCCGTCAAGAAGAAGAATAGATTTCTTCATTGTAAATACATGAAAAGGCAATAAATTAGTACTTTATTCATTTTGTGCTAATTTTGATCACTCTATTTAAATTTAGTATTAGGTCAAAATTCTTGAATCAGTATTAAAAAAATTAATTTCTCTAACATTTTTCAATTTCGTTTAATTTTATAGTGTTTTTAACCATAGGTTTAAAAATATTCATAAATGTGTTTTATTTTCATAAAAAAAAAATTATTTAAAAATTTTTAATATCTATACGGCTTTTCTTTATATATTTTATTATGTCTATTAATCATCGTAACTGTTTTACAGCAAAATTTTACAAGAAAGGATATTATTTTGATGTAAATATTTTTTTTTATTTTCTTTGAAAAAATACAAAAAAATCATATAAAATAATTAAGAGCATTTTATTATCAACTTTCTAGAAAATGCCGAAAAATTTTGTTAAAAATACGGATGATTCAATGCTTTTATAGGATGCTTTTTAATGCGTTTGTCGTCTCATGTACTAAGAATGTTACACTATAAAATGTGACGTTTACTGTGTTAGAGGTGGTGTAAATCTTATGTTTAATATTTCAAACGTCTATAAAATTAATTTAATTAAACATAATTCAGTGAAAATTTCAAGTTTGATTAGATTTATTTTTATGGATCTTTTGGTATAAAATATTTGATAATATGACGCCAAATATTAAAGATATTGACACAGTGACATTACTTTTGGATCAACCCTCGTAACTTGGTTGTAAGGTTACCATTAACGTCTTTTTCAAGTAAAATATCCAAGTATTAAACAGATGTGTCAGACTCTACTGTATCTATCTCAAGCTCTTCTGGATATATCATATCGACGTAGGAATGGAAATTACCATTGTTAATTGACAATACGTCGTCGATATATCTGAAGGTCGAGTTGAAGGCCACAACAAGTGTTTTTCCTCTTTTCAAATATAAGATTTCGAACAAATTCTACTTCATATGAAAAAAATAGGTCTGCTAATAATGGGGCGCAATTTATACCCATGGGAATGCCAATAAATTCTTGGAATACTTTGTTTCCAAAAACCACATAGATATTGTCAATCAGAAAGCATCTTCTTGATGTCAACTTCAGAGTACTTTCGTGTGCAATCAGAATCTTTTTTAACAAAATAATTTTGCAAATGACTAATGACCAGGTAAGTAAATTTACGAGTTCCATTTTTATTGAAAAAGCAGCTGTCAATTATATCAAAAAGCCTGGATTTTAATTTATCGCGGGGAATGGTTGTGTATAAAGTTGAAAAGTCATAAGTTTTTAACTGTTGATTTGGGTAAAATCTTGTGATTTCAAATTATCCAAAAGTTCTTTTGAATTTTTTAGCATCCACATCTGATTCACACCAATTCTTGAATATATGGTTGCACAGTGTGTTAAGTTTTTTTTACTACTGTCAATATCTTAGTGAGGAGTGTAGAAAGAGGTTTTGATTTACTGGAACCCGCAATGTATCTTTGTTTGTAAGGATTCTTATGAAGTTTCGGAATCCAATATATATAAGGTTATTCAAATTCATTTTGGCTCTGTGGAATATTAAAAATATTCAAAACTGACATATGATTTTGAAGAATTTCTTCCTTAGAAAGGGAAGTATGAGTTTACGAAGGATTACTATTGTAGAATTAAATACAAGTTATTCTAGAATACAATTTATATAATTAGCCTTACAAACGAAGACAATGTTGTTACCTGCTTTGTCGGCAGGGACCAGTACGTAATGATCATGTAATCTATCTAATTCTTTTTTCACTTCTGGTTTATTGAACACAGAAGGAAAGATGGTTTTCATTTTGCCCCTCAGTACTCTAATACGCGACTTTAACATAGATCTACTACATTTTATCCATTCTGACAAGGTGTCAACGTCTTCTTTTTCATATCTGGCCCATCGTCTGACGTAATTTTCAACAGAATCCATAATATATATAAAATTCCGACGCCAGTTGAAGGATCGGGGTTCCCTATATTTAGGACCTTTTAAAATAAGTGATCTAATGTCCTCATTATTAACTATATTTACGTCATCTGTAATAACGTGTCCAGCAGGACTATAATTGTAGAGCAATGAACATGAACACGATGGAGGATTATGTTTCAGACACTCGGTATCCAGATCATGTCAAGTTTTTTCGTAATTGAAAAGTTTGGAAGCAATGGTCGACGTAGTCTTACTTTTCTACTAATTCTTTTGGTGAAAGTGAGACTGAGATTAAAGTGAACTTATCTCCGTTTTATCATATGGCCCCGGAGCCTGGAGTGTTACATATTCTGATCGATGGTGTCAATCCGAGGATACATGTCCTAATTCCTGATGGTGTCAACTCAGGTTTTTATGGTTACAGTGTAGTCATAATTTCCTTTTGGTGTCAAACCAGGGGGTCTTTTTTCCTTTATACGTGAGAAGCCCCCGAGAAAGCTAAAGATATGTTGTTTAAAACAAGATCACGAAGATGTACACTCTATACATGTACGATAGATTTGTTTTTGTGTAAATTTTTTTTTAAGCTTGTTGAATGATTGAGAACATTGTAGTTTTTAATGTTTTGATTCTTTTTTTTAAATGTTGAAATTTCAATTGTTCAGTATAACATTTTTATGAAACGTATGTTCCAGACACCAAAAAGGCGTTCATTGGAAATTAGGAAAATAAACACAATGTTTCACACAATGTCAAACACTTTCATTAACGACCAATTTTGCCGCGAAACTGAGTTTCAAAGAAAGGAACTTCTAAAAATTTTATTAACACAAATTATAATAAGATTGAAAATTAGACGTGGGCAACTGTTATAAATTGAGAAAAAATAGATTTAATGTCATATTATGAACTTTATTTAATATAACACAATTTTTAACAAATAAATTCAACAATTTCGTATATAATAAACAGCTATGACAGAATTCATTAATACATGGCTTTTGATTAAAAGACAGTAATACTTGTATTTTTGATTTAATATGCATAGGTTACAGTAAAACATAATTAACTGTGAAGAATAACAGTACTGCTTTTATGAAATGTCAAGTTTTGACAAAAATGAAAAAAAAAAAAAAACAAATGAAATATATTTTGTACAAAAATATATAGCTTTAAAAATCAGATACAGGGATTTTGTCAACACACTTTCTATTTACAATATTAATACACTCGCAAAATGACAATTTTTACATTTTCACAATTTTAATTTGAAATTAGAAAATCAATTGAACTGAAGTAATAAGGAATTCTATGAAACACAACTTATGTTACTCTGGTAAAGTGTGATGTAAATAATTGAACAAACGTTTACTAACTTACTAATAAATTACTGTAAAAGTATGAGTTCTCTTACTATAGCCTGACTATGAATGATAAAAAAAAAAGATTGAAAAATTCTATCCGAGTTATTTAAGAAAGAAAACATTTCATTGCACATGTACCATAAAAGTGGTTCAATTGAGAAAAGTAGATAAATATTAATGATACGAGAATATGAATCATATAATAACGAAAAGAATACATTTTATAAAATATATAAATTGACCAGGTATTTTTTTTTTCTAATCGAAATAACTTGTTCATTTATTTTGTTCAACAAACCTGATTATTTTATTTGTAAAATGACATCAATAAAAGTACTTCATAACAGTGTAATTAAGCATTCATTATTAAAAAAAAATCATCATCACGATTTTAAATAAAACTTTTTAATTTAAAAAAGTAGAACATAATATGTATGTTTTCATACATTTAGGATTTTAAAGAAATCAACATAATAATAGTGTAATATTTAACAAGATAAAATAATGTTAACATATAAGCTCATAATTTTGAACTTCATTCTTATTTAAATTGTTTGAAAAAAAAAATAACAAAGACATATATGATTTTAAAAATGTGTGTTAATAAATCAGAGACTAATTATTAAGATTTTTTTTGTTCAGTTGAGTCTGTCTTGTTTTCTTAAAACATGTACATTTCTACTGTCTCACTTTGACAGCTACATCTGCCAGAAAATTTGTACTGGTTCATCAATTTGTCTTTTTAAATTTTGCAACAGATCATGAATTGTTGGTAGTTTCCATTCGTCTTAATCTCATTGTCTCCACATTTCTTCTCCTGTCTTTGTCATCATATCGTAATAGAAAAAGTACCACCACTAGAAATCCCGCCTTTACAAATGGAATTGTTTTTCCAATAACGTCACAAGCGGTTGAACAACACGTAACGCAATTTACGATGGGTGGAATAACGACCAATAAAAATACTGAAATAGAAAGTTTGTTTATTATCTATTAAGATTTGAATAATTTCACTTATAGAAGGATACATTCTCCTCAGAAAATTGGTTAAGTATAAACTAGCCACATCTACTACATAAAATAGCTTTCCACTTTCCTAAGGAGAATTGGAAGCAATATTTTCACCTTCTGCAAATGATAATTTTCTAATGACCACAAAATTTTATGAAAATTTAAGAGATTCCTTCAGTATGAATAATCACGAAAAAATATGGCAAAATAACTATCCGGAGCTTCTTTTGAAAGATCGCCCGAAGAGAATGGCCAAAAATTAATTACATAGAAACACGATTTATAATGTGTTTCTTAAATAATTATACCCTTATTTATTTTGCACCATAAAATATGAAATAATAATAATAATAAATCATTATCGTTCATTATAATTTGAAGAAGATGATCCTAGTCATGTTTATCATGTATATACATGAGTGGTAAGCTTTTTGTGATGAAGCACTTAATTGTAGTAAAGTAAAAATTGTAATAAAAAAATTGGAATACACACATATTAGTATTCGTCATCTTTATTCTTATATGTTTCATTACGGTAAATAGGTTCATGACAACACATACTTTACTTTCATTGGAAAATAGGTTATTCCTATCTAAACTAAATTACAAAGTAAAAAAAAAAAAGAATCAAAACTCACTATGTGTTTCAAACACTCTCCTCAATTAAATCTTGCAGATAACTTCATCACGTAAACCATTAATGTTTATTCATATATGAAACAAAATTACCACATGTAGCTTACAAATAGTATATAGAGAAATTGTTTTTTTAAATGAAAATTTAAGAAAGCAAATTAAATCTTGACAAAGGGTTTTCGAGCCAACATTTTGCAAATTTAAAACGATTTTTTAGTGCCTTTTGTAATTTCTTTACAACGGAACAATGTCTCACTCTTCAAAGGTATTCCAATTTATGTCAATTTTTCTACTTGGAATAATTTCTATTTCGCAGTCTCAGTAGTAGATTGTTGAATTTGCAAACATGTGGTAATAATTATTGAAAAATTTCGTTACTTTCGATTTCTTTCATACAATAAATAAATGTTCAAGTATATTCTGTATATTGTTGTGTCATAAATAAGAACTATGTTCAATGTCACATAAAGATCATTACCTGCTACATAATAAAATGTGGTTCCTCTGCCTTTCAAAAAGTCAGGTATGCAGTCCCTTGTAGTGCATTTATTTTGACAGATTGCATACATAATGTGAAATATTACTGCAACAAAAACAACCCAGTCAAGCACAAAGAAACCAATCTTCGACGTCCGTGAACATGTCTTACGATCACTCTGCGTGGCGTTTGAGAATGTGTTTTTTTGGGAAGTTGCACTTCCATTTTCCGTTTTTTCAATTCTTTTATAATCATTTGGTGTTTTTTCTGTGTTATCCTGTTCCAGAGAGCAGTCCTTTGCCTTTTCATTTTCTAAAAAAAAAAATATATATATGTATATATAACAAATAATATTTTTTTTAAAAATGCATCAGCCAGGTACGTTTTTTTTATCTAAATATTTTCTAATTTTTTTTGGATAAGTACACGTAAATACTTCCACATGAACAAATTGCTTTAAATCACCTTCAACTGGCTTCAAGTCAATATATTACCGGGGTATAAGAAAAGTGTACACAAAGTCAAAATATTGCCAATCACAAGGCAATTTGAAGCGCAAGATATGGAGCATCCTCACGACGTCAAGGATCCTGTATCAACTCGTTGCCGAGGGAGCCCTGTAGCTTTTCCAAAGCTTGCTTCTCTCCTTGGGAAGCATCAATTAAATTGAAGTAGAATAATAATTAAAACGAACAATAAGAAATCATTGTAACCTGATTTACATTATACATAACCGAATGGCTTGATATGATTGTTTCAGAGTTATGAAAAACAATCAAGATAATTGTAAATTTTGCCTGAAATACACCACTGCTATCAGGCCCAAGATATCGAATGAAATTTGTCAGGAATCTCAAGGCAACTAGTTGCAATGGCATTTCTAACGCCATACAATATATCAAAATTGATGCATTAGTACACGATATCAAATTTGCAGGGCAAGAATTATTGTATTGTGTTTATAAATTTGCTTTTATTTGTTTGTGTTGGAGAGGACATTCTAAGTTGCCATAACTTGTGTCCAATCCCATTGATTATGTTTCAATAAAATGTGTTTAAATCAAGAATTTTTTGACGTTCCCATTTTAAAAAGAATCATGACATTATCGTGATCATGATAGCAATCACAATCCAACAACTTTACTGAAATAATGCTTACATAAAATTCTTCCTATTATGACAAAATGATTTTATACAATTATATTTTTAAAAAACCCGCTAGATTCATCTTAATCTATAAAATAACAAGAAAAGAATTAAATTATGAATACATGTGAAATACAGAAAACTATTTTACCTTTTTCGGTACAATTCATTACAGTCGAATTGAAGGTATCTTGACAAGGGTTTTTAGTACTGTTATTACATGGAGGCAATGAAGTGCAATCCTTTGGCAAGCACCTTCTACATTCCAGTTTCTACAATAACAGATAGAAATTATTCACGTAGCTGGCATTTTTCATATTACAGTTGTCTTACCATCATCATATTAATGAAAGTTAAGACTTTTTGGTTTTCAGCACACCAATATTTGTATAAAAATAAAAAAAAAACAGAAGAAAAAGAAATGAATTCTTCAAAACTTATTTTCAAGGAATTCAACCAAAAGAAACATGAAAATAGCTGTCTGAAACACGTTTCTCACAAATTTTCTGATTTCACACACTATCTCTGTTTTTCATTTTTTGCATCATCACATTTGTCCAGTATTGTTATTGCATTGACCTTTGAATTCCTTCTTTATGATATTGATACATTTTTTAGGCAAAAAAGCATATAGTTGTAGACATTTACTTATGGTGTATGTGCTTCTTGTGTTTGTTTTAACTCCATTTGACCCTTTGATCTTATTACAATTGTTTGCTTTTTAAAAGAAAAAAAACTTTCGCCATGTAAATTTGCTCATTCCACTCAGTTTACATATATTCTTTTACACAGACAATTGTTTATTTTGAAATATATTAATACTTTATCTAATTTAAACGAGCAGAGATATTGCCTCCTACTGGTGAATGTAATCTAGTTCTATTGAAATTTTAAATGCTTTTATTTCGTCGAAAAACCCCAGAGTGCAGTCTTTATCTATAACTCCATTATATATAAAATCATAAACCAGAAATCAGCTCAATATTTTAAGCATTCAGAAATAAATGTAGAAAACTTTTTAAAAATCAAAAAGGTCGAAATTTTCTTAAAAATCAGTGAAAATCTTTCAGGCAATTGTTTATTCTATTGTCAGGAATTGAAATTTCAACTTGAATGCTTAAGATAGAGTATGATTATACAAGTATAAAATACTTCATGTCTGTTAAATTTAATTTGAAAAATCAAATATGGTGATCATTACTTTTAGATTAACCCTTAATAAATGTATGTGCAATGAATTGGCGTATGAATACATGTAGAAATGCGAATACTCACTTTTGGTAAGTGGCAATATTTTCCAGTAAAATCTACAATAAATTTTTTACCCTCAAACTGCGCAATAAATAAAATCACGTAGAAAATTTGACAGAATAAATAAATTTACACTTGTAATATATTATATTTAAATTTACGTAGACACTATATATACAAAAGGAATTTTTGTATATAAAGTGATTAGTAAAATTAAATACAGTATGTTACCGACCCCTGTGAATAAATTGATAAGTACTATAATTAAAGCTTTGAATTTATAATCGATGTTTTTTCTCAAAAATAAAACCAATGTAATAATTAGAACAAAAAAAAATGCATGGACAGAAATTTGCAATGGTACCTGTTCCTTTGCAGTTACACTTTCCACAGTCTTCATCCGAGAGAAGACACCTTCGGATTTCCCCACATATCACTCGAGAGGTATTATGACGACATTTGGGAAAAAACCCAGTGCAGTCTGAGCCTAAATATTTGAATAAAAGCAGCGCTTAATGGAATTCTATGATTGAAATAAACAAAAATATATAGTAAATACATGTATAGTTTTACAAATTTACAGGTTTAATTAAAAAAAACTTCAATCTTAAGTGAATAAGATTAATATTGTCTACACACAAAATTATATGCATTCTACTTACAATTGATATTCGTATCAGTTTTGGTACAATTACTCGGTATTTTCGCACAAACGCATTTCGTCGGACGATACGTATAATGTGATGGATTGCAAAATTCATATTTAATATCTATAAAAGGAAAAATACACACCATTTTTACCCAACAAGAACAACATTGAGTTTTAACTGAACTTTCCTAAACTTTATGATTGTCAGTAAAATATATATTTAATCTCCCATTTGGTTCTTCCTGCTTCTGTGTGTCTTATTATGAACTTGAATCTACATTAATCACTAATCTTCTTAATATGAATAATCATGGCTTTGTTGTTTTTGAGAAGAACATGTTTAAAGATTTATTCCTCTTTTTTCCTATGTAAAGCTATGATACCCCAATATTAACCTACCCTATCCCTGGGGGTAATGATTTGCACAAACTTAAATCAAAACTTCTTGAGTATGCTTCGTTATCTATTACTGATCAAGGCTTTGTTGATCTTGAGATGGAAATGTTTAAATGATTTCCCCCCATAAATCCAAATTGAAACTTCGTTTCTCCATTTTGCCCTTATCCTACCCCTGATGGTTATCATTTGAACAAACTTGAATCCACAATAATTGAAGATACACATCGTTATTAAAATGACTGATCATGGCAATTTATTGTTCTTGAGAAGAAACTGTTAAATCTTTGACAGCTCATTGTAGCTATACCCTACCCCTGGGGCATTCTTTCCTATAGAAATGTTCGCAAAATTACGGACTGTGTGTTTTAACATTGCATATTATACACTAAAAATGGAAAAACAGACAGTGGAAATTTCAGAACTTTTGAACTTTTTAATATAAATTCAATTAATTACTTGTAACGTCTTACCTTTCCCTGTTAGGTTCTCTATTGGTGTACAATCTTGATTGATATCAACATATTCTACAATATATTTTCAGAGTATTTTAAATTTAAGTGTTTACATGTAAAATATACATAAACATCATTAGCGTATAAATAAATTGAAAAAAGAGTAAATCAGTAAGGTACCTTTGATTTGATCTGTATAATCAATGGTTAGAAGACAAGAATTGGTAGTTTCTGAAAGAGAAAATGGCAGGCTTAATTAATCTCATTTTCCTTCCCTCAAGCAGTTTAAACAAATTATACCCAAAGTGAAGTATTTCTGAATGCAGTATTCATATCCAACAAGAAATCTGTGAGTCAATGCTCACTAGTAATACCCCCGCTCTGATGTAAATAAGCACTATCATGTTTATATATATACACAAGTTCAATTACAGGCAGATGCACAGAAAAATATGACAAGTTGACATCAGATTCATATCAAAATTAATCCCACCATATGGCATGCCTCAATAAAGGGTGTAATAAAATTTCAAGCATCCGCTATGAATAGCTAATGAGAAAACTGCGACGAAAATTTGTTATATGTGAAACAGACAGACACATAGACAAACAGGAAGTTGATATTCGATTTGAAAAAAAATGTATCCCAAGATATGGCATACCTAAGAGAAGATTTTGTTAAAATTTCAAGCATCTATGATAAGTAGATGCTGAGAAAACTGTGACGAAAATTTTGTGATGTTAAAACAGACAGACACACAGACAAACAGGAAGTTGACATCAGATTTGAAGGAAAATGTACCCCACCAAATGGCATGCCTTAGAAAAGATTGTGTTAAAATTTCAAGCATCTACATAGAGTAGTTGCTGAGAAAACTGTGATGAAAATTTGTTACGTATGAAACGGACAGACCCACAGACAAACAGGAAGTTCATATCCGATTTAAAAGAAAATGTATCCCACCATATGGCATGCCTCAGAGAAGATTGTATTAAAATTTCAAGCATCTACGATGAGTAGTTGCTGAGAAAACTGCAACGAAAATTTGTGATGTATGAAACGGACAGACGCACAGACAAACAGGAAGTTGATATCCGATTTGAGAGAAAATGTATCCCACCATATGGCATGCCTCAGAGAAGATTGTGTTAGAATTTCAAGCATCTACGATGAGTAGTTGCTGAGAAAACTGCCACGAAAATTTGTGATGTATGAAACGGACAGACGCACAGACAAACAGGAAGTTGATATCCGATTTGGGCGAAAATGTATCCCACCATATGGCATGCCTCAGAGAAGATTGTGTTAAAATTTCAAGCATCTACGATGAGTAGTTGTTGAGAAAACTGTGACGAAAATTTGTTTCGGACGGACACACAGCTACACGGACACACGGACACACAGCTACACGGACGGACAGACACACAAGGGTAAAACAGTATACCACCCTCTCCTTCGGAGCGGGGGTATAACAATTAATTTTACCTGATCTATTTATTTTGCTCCCATTCAATCTGTACATTTGTGATGGTAAATTAAAATTCTCTTCAGATTTATTTTCTTGAAGGAAATTCACCAAAGAATATAAATGGAGTACCTATATATTGAAGAGAGCTGGTCAATTAAAAATTCAGTAGTACAGAATAATTAAAAATAAATAAAATTAATCCACTACTTACGACACATACATGTAGGCATATACATAAAAACTTACCAAAGAAACTGTAAATAGGCCCTGTAGAAAGAAAAAAATCATTTCAAAAGTAACCTTGAAAATTTAATTCGAATTATCAACATATTTTGTTTGAATTTTGACTGATCGGTAACAGATACTTACAATGGCTAAAATGATTTTTTTATTTCCTGTAGGCCATTGTATGTTATTTTCCACGGTATTCTCCTGAAATTTAATCAATATTTTTACACAACTTCTCTATTATTAGCAAGTTTTAAATATTTCAGGTTTTGCTAGGAAGTTAATACTGAAATGTTAAATAATGGACTGATTTAGTTAAATTTTTTTGAAAGTAAAAACCAGTCCTCCTAAATTATCTGTAATATATAAATTTCCCATTTAATCGGATGTATAAATCTTAAAATACTTAAACTAAAATATACAGTCTCATGTGAGATGGAATGGACTATCTCTCACTTCAGTTGAAAGATTTTTCAGAGGATCAGCACTATAGAATAAACCCAGACTTAGAAAGGTAGCTATGAAGAACAGATTGTATATGCAGATATTCGTTTCAATTCAAGTATAAAATATAATTCAAGTTCAAAATAAATCAAATTGCATATAAGCATGCACAATGCTTTTTTTCAGCATTTTGTGCATATATTCAAACAGGTTTCTCTTTATATAAATAATTTTAAATACTATTACTAGTAAATTTTGCCACTGTAATATACGTATATTACTCCACTGTAATATATATAACACTTGCAGAAAGCAGTGTAAAATGTACTTGAATTCCAATATTCTAAATGACGAAAAAATCAAATGTGACAGTTTGAATTACTATAGTATATGTACTCATTACTCATGATCCACTTCGGCATCGGGTGACATAGCACTCCAGGGTTTTTCCTGTCACCTCGGAGCAAATATTCTGGGATGTCACCCTCGAAGCCATGTGATATATGTATAATATTGTACTTTGTAAATTTAAAAAATCTACATTATTAACGAAGGATAACTTTAAAGAAACTTATCTACAAGTAAAGCATTGTACCTGTGTGTCTTCCTCTTCCCCCTGAAGAATTTCTGTCCTCTACATTGACAACAAATTGTGTTAAATACACACAGATTTACAATATAAAACAGGTTTGCACATTCATAGAGAACTTATGGATAAATATTATGTCTACCTCTTCTGGATTTTGCTGAGCATTCGACATGTTGGACTCGGTGTTTGATGTGTTCGAAGCCACGTCAATTGAACGTTTGACTTTATCTGCACCAGAGTCAGACAAACTTCTTCGTGGACTGGACTTTTTTAACACTGGACTATCAGATGTAAAAACGTCCTCTGCTTCAGATTCTTCAGTCGCTACAGGAACGTAACCTTGTTCAGTGTAAGACTTTGAGCGGTTGAAAGAACGTTTCATAATAAACCGTTGCTATTCTGTGGAGTAAAAAAAAAAAAAGAAAGCTAAAGTGAAGTATATGTATTATAGTAATCTAAACAACTGAGTGGATTAATTTAACTTATTATGAAAAGATACGATGCAAATGAAGATATGAACCACGTACATTTTGAGGAAGACACTAAATCTATATCAGAGAAGCTTAAAATAGCTTGCTTACTGAAATGATGCAAAATATATACATGTAAGTGGAAGAGTGTATCTCGTACAATAGTTACCCAATTATGAAAAGTTCATTTCCGGAATTACTTTGGAACTACAAGCAACTTCACACTTAGTCCTCAAATATAATAATAAGATATAACTCTTCATTCACTTGTTGCAACTTTTTCTCCAGATTCCAAATATCAAAATTAAAGTGTAAGTGATGCAAATATCAAATTTTTGAAATAAAGAGGAATTGTAGTTTCTTAATTATACAAATTTATATCCTTATTAACTATGAATTTTCCCACTCAAGCCTTTCCCACTCAAGCCTTTTATTGTTAAAGAGAAGCTTACTTCTTCAAGGCACCTGATATCAACTTCCTTTGTGCATGTGTATTGTTTAAAAAAAACAATTTAGCATGATCACTGTCTCTTATCTCACTTTCATTAAGGCCATTCAATTGAGTGTATTACCCACTAATATTTTGTCTTCTTATGTTTTGGGTCTTACTTTTCTAAATTGTTGACGTATTTTATCTATTCTATTCATTGTCTAGAAAATAACATTGAACCAATATATAGCCTCTAAATACTGACCATGACAAGGACGCATGCTAACAAATGAGTTTACATTGCCAATCAGTGGATCTGGACTATATAATACGTCCTATCTTACAACGAGAGAACATTTTTAAAAAACTCACTGCTTGTTCTATTTTCATCGTTTCATCAAATTCTATGCAATATGATATATTAGTATGAAATCTTATTTATGTAATCTGTGACAGAAGCATAGAAACAACCACTGGAATTCTGCCTCACACTAGTTAACACGACTTTTTTTTTCTCATAACAAGACCGGAAAACTGTGTTGGCCATACAGGTAAAGATTTTTGAACCTAGTGCACATGGATTCCTTGCACACGACAATTGCTTTTATCTTGATGTGTTAATTTTGTTAAGTGTTGAATGAGTTTCTATTTAATTTAGATTGATTGATTGATTGTATATTGTTTAACGTCCCTCTTGAGAATTTTTCACTCATATGGAGACGTCACCGATGCCGGTGAAGGGCTTCAAATTTAGACCTATACTCGGCACTCAGGGCCATTGAGCAGTGAGGGTTCTTTATCGTGCCAACGCCTACCGTGACACGGGACCTACGTTTTTAAGGTCATATCCGAAAGACCCGTGACTTTCACTTCTTGTGCCGAGCGCTTGGCGAAGGAACAGTCACTACCTTTGTTTACGTCTTAGGTATGACGCGGCGCCGCGATCGAGAATCGAACCCGGGCCTCCCGATCACGAAGCGAACGCTCTACCACTAGGCTACCGTGACCGGTATTATTTAATTTAGAAGAGGTTAAAGAAAATTATATCAAAGTAATTTGTCGTAAAGAAAATCGTATTATATTTCATTTTTGTATTTATACACCATCTTTAGAATATTAAAAAGAAATATAAAATATTAGAAAATATAGCTATTTGAAAACGTCTGATAATTGTGATACATCGCCAATATCCATATAACGCTTTGCCTCTCTCTCTCTCTCTCTCTCTCTCTCTCTCTCTCTCTCTCTCTCTCTCTCTCTCTCTCTCTCTCTCTCTCTCTCTCTCTCTCTCTCTCTCTCTCTCTCTCTCTCTCTCTCTCTCTCTCTCTCTCTCTCTCTCTCTCTCTCTCTCTCTCTCTCTCTCTCTCTCTCTCTCTCTCTCTCTCTCTCTCTCTCTCTCTCTCTCTCTCTCTCTCTCTCTCTCTCTCTCTCTCTCTCTCTCTCTCTCTCTCTCTCTCTCTCTCTCTCTCTCTCTCTCTCTCTCTCTCTCTCTCTCTCTCTCTCTCTCTCTCTCTCTCTCTCTCTCTCTCTCTCTCTCTCTCTCTCTCTCTCTCTCTCTCTCTCTCTCTCTCTCTCTCTCTCTCTCTCTCTCTCTCTCTCTCTCTCTCTCTCTCTCTCTCTCTCTCTCTCTCTCTCTCTCTCTCTCTCTCTCTCTCTCTCTCTCTCTCTCTCTCTCTCTCTCTCTCTCTCTCTCTCTCTCTCTCTCTCTCTCTCTCTCTCTCTCTCTCTCTCTCTCTCTCTCTCTCTCTCTCTCTCTCTCTCTCTCTCTCTCTCTCTCTCTCTCTCTCTCTCTCTCTCTCTCTCTCTCTCTCTCTCTCTCTCTCTCTCTCTCTCTCTCTCTCTCTCTCTCTCTCTCTCTCTCTCTCTCTCTCTCTCTCTCTCTCTCTCTCTCTCTCTCTCTCTCTCTCTCTCTCTCTCTCTCTCTCTCTCTCTCCCTACATATGTATCTTGCATAAAACATTTTACTTTTTCTTTTAGACTTGCTCTTGAAAGTTTTCAGGTAAATTTTGCTTTTGAATTTGATTCAAATTCTTTTCAAAATATGCATATTTTAAAAGTTCCAATTATGACAAAAATGTACCATGACAAAAATAACATCCTCATATTTCAGACTTTTTTATATTCTCAAAATGTTAAACCAGGGGAAAAATTGTCCAGATTTATTTCCCGCTTCTTTTTTTATTTTCTACTACACGATCCTTTCAATAGCAACTTTGTACAATTTCATTTTGAAATGAATTTGACAGCGCAAAGAGTTTGTCTGTATACTTGAAATCAAACTTAACTCCGATTTTAAATGTTCAAAATACAAAATGAATTCGTAATTGTTCGATTTGTCCAAGAATCAGGCATGTGGTCAAATGATTTTAGACCTTGTAGATCCAATCTGATCCCTGACACACACTGTAAACATTGGTTCATGTTTAGTGTCAGAATCGTGGCACGTGATCTTAGCCAGATAATGCTATCACAATCAGTTTTAACTCAGAAAAAATATTCTCCTTGCCTGAATGATACGACTATATGCCCCACTTACCACGTTAATGGACAACTGTGTACTGTATACAGGTAAATTTAGATAAACAAAATATTTACATGCATTCATTTGATATGTAATAATAAAAAAATACTGGTAACGAAAGTAAAAGAAAAAAGTACATACCACCATGATTGAGAGTTAGATCTCTTGTGAAATAATGGAAATAAGGTTTGACATAATACTTTTATTCTAGGAAGGGAAAAACCAATTTAGATATACATGAATATATGTATTTATAGAATTCTGAAATTCCCTTGTGTGGACACGAGGTACATAAATAATTAACCTACGCTATATATATAAATGGTTCTAAATCTGCACGAAAATGTTTACTGAATATCCGTGCTTTATGTCAGATTATAATTTTCTCTGAAGAAAATTCCCAATAATTTTATGCTTACATTGTACAAAAATATTATAAGCCAAGATTTTATGATTTTTTCACTATGGTCATATACAAACTTCAATGACAACGTGTCACACGCCTTTGAATAAATTTTACTAACCAAGCACATTGTTTCAGATGGAGTCGGGGAAGTTGGGAGGGGGTTCTCTTCGAATCATTAGTACTATTGAAATTGTTCGTTGATAATCTAGTTGCCTCAAACCCTCTTCTTCGTCAAAACAAAAAAATTAAGTTTAGTTAAATCATTGTAATTAATCGGGTATGCATTAATAAAAGAAGATTGGATGCTATCTTGATGCTTTCCAGTCCCCCTACTTAAAAAAGTTTTTCAAAGTAGGTAAATTTTTTTATTGACATTTTTTTCGATAACCTTTTTTGCCCCCCTCTCCCTGTTTTAGAAAAAATACTAATATACATGCCTGGTACAATTGCTGATTGACTACGCATTAATTTTGTGTATCATTTAAATTCTTCCCATCTCAGATGTTTTGGAGGTCCGTGTTTGCTCCGCTCCTGTTTTGTATTGTTTTATGGACTTTTAATCTTAAAGACTGTTCGTTATCTCCATATGTTTCATACATGAATTCAATGCTACTCTGTAATTATGTACATTGTTTAGAATCATTATTTATCTCCACTTATTTGATGTCGCACAATGCTTTATTCTAATGTATGAACTTCTCTCCTTAACTCTGATAACATAAAAAGTTGCTCCTATCTAAAGGTTATATCAGTTACATGTAGCCAGCAAATAAAAAAAAGAAATATCTGACAAATAAAGCAACCATATCATTCCTGAGTTTTTGATCAATTGCTTTAAATCCATGAAAAGTATAATAATCTTACACCTTTTTTTGATTTCTATTGTCGTAATTTACAGGTATAAATCTTTGACATGGCACCGTGCACCCTGCTCCAGGTTCCTATTGATAGCGGATACAAGGAGTTTCGACTTATTCAGATCTACAGCTCCCAGTATCTCACATCAATTCCCCGGGATTCTTGTCACTGGTGCTAACGTATTTACCCTTCCTCTACCCTTTTTTCTCCTTTAAACTTCTTATTGCTTACAGCCGCCTTTCCAACAGCCGTTCAGAATAAGAAGTCCCTGAAACTCTCAAAGCGGTTATTTAATACCCTTCAGAGTAGTCTACTTTGAACGGGGGTGGGAGGAGGTTATTCCATTTTAGCCCTACGTCTGTTTCACTTTCAGTAATCAGTTCATCGTTCATCGATATACTAAAAAAGTGTAAATTTTGTACTTTATATAGAAAAACGACATGACAACATAAATTATTTCACGAAACAAATTTCTAAAAGATAAAAATAATATTTAAAAGACTTGACGACACAAAAGAATACCACAAATAAATCCCTACATTTATTTTCACATTACGTTTATATTTTCAATTAGTGTGCTATATTCCCCTTCTCGTGCCATTTTTACAAAATTTATCGTCACAATCCACTCCCTGGCATTACCCTGTGTCTATCTAGATTCTGCCTTGCTTTTTTACTCAGCTTCTATGGTACCCGCCCTAACACAAGAACCCCTGACTCTTTGGCCATGAAATTCACAATTTTCGAAAAGACACCCTTGCTCATCAAATGGGGTTTACCAGTCGTGAAAGTGAAATATTGTAGCTTTAATTCTCGAAAAAACATATTAAAATTAGAATGTCCCTATTTTACATTGAGCATAGGCATGCAGAGGTGTTTTTTTCTTTTCCCTGTCACGTTTAAATGATTCACATGCTATAAGATACCTCTGTAAAGTGTCTGTATGTACTTACATGTATGAATAAATACATAAATTAGAGAACGCATCTCTGTTTCATCATCAAATTAAGTGTAAAGTAAATTTTTGAAATTCTGTGTTGAAAAGTGAAATGACACCGGATAATCCCGATTTAGTCTGTGAAACGAGACTCAAGGACATGCGATGCTCTAATAAAAAAACATAGTATTTTGTTAAATAATGACTTGCTTAGAAAATAAATTTAAATATGCTTTATTTTCAATTCGACATACATGTATTTATATATCAAAGAGCATAATTTCTGAAGACCCTCTAAACCAACTCTGAATATTTGTCAAATAACATTATATTTTAACAAATCGATATTTAAACAGAGAAACGGATTACAAAGCACAATCATTAAACACATAATATGCAATGTACATAGACACATAAATACACCGTGTATATAAAATATGGATCAGTTTGTAAATATATTATCGAAAAATGTTTGTGGAAATTTTCATGTTGATAAATTAGAAATAAAATTGTATTGTTTTCTGATTTCATCGATTCACTGGTTAAGCTAATTTTTTGGCATCTAGAATTCTCTCTCTCTCTCTCTCTCATTATGTAGGATAATGATGACTTAAATGCAAAGCATCGTAATGAATGTTAATAATTTTTTGGCAATAATAAAGCCAGTCCAAACATCTGTAAAAAATTTTTTCAAGAATAATGGCTGCGGCATATCATAAATCTTTGCGATAATCACAGTTGATTACGAATATAATCGTTCACTTCTCATACTTATGCAGCAATATTCCTTCACCTGCATACGGGGTTTAAATATTTCTCAGTTGTTTTGATATACAAGAGCGTGCCCAATGTATGTACAATTTCTAAAACGACGTAAATTATCGAAAAACAAGTTGATGAAACAAACATATCAGCAGTCTCGTTAAAAGTTATCATTTTGTAATTCTATGGTCGATACAATGACCTTGTTATCAAAAACAATTTATCATTGAGTCAAATGTTCACTGACGTTTTTCATACTTATTGTTCGTCCATTATTCACAAACATAATAGTGTCGACCGATTTTTCCCATTTTTTGCCCGATCATGATGGGTTTACCGGTCAGAAGGGGATGCTCAATCCTTCATAGCACCTAACTCCACCTCTGATGTTTTGAGGGTTCATGTTTGCTCTGCTCCAATTTTGTATTATTTAATTGACCTGTGATCTTGAATACTATTCGTTATCTCCGTATATAATTCATCTTAAGGGGGCCGACTATAGTTTCCATTGCGCAATATTTCGCGCATCATAGTAAAATGAAGCGTATTTACTGTTTTAATGCAATTTTTTTCGCTTAATTATTAAAATTAAACAAAATTAAGAAATTATAGATATAAAAATGTAATTACAATTTGATATAACTGATTTTTAAACCGATTTTGCAATTGATAGGTAGGTTGACGTCGTTGCAGTGTGTTTTTGACGTTATGATAATCTGTAGCTCTTAAAAAAAGGGGAAATAATATTATTTAAGAAAAAGTAATAAACATACGCTCTTGAAATTTAAAACATAGAAATTTGAGAATATCTCCAATATTTTTATTATGTTTTCATGTGAATCCATTGTGTACGTCATATTTTGTAATACTCTATAAAAATAGTAAAATTTGCTAATTTTTGGCAGTTTGAGATGCCGCCTCTGGTAACAAGACGGTAGAATTTTGTGTTTCTTACATATATTGTATAATATAGTAATACTCATCGAATATTATAGTTTGAACAAAATGTCTATTGTAGTATTTGTATAATTTGCTTGAAAGTGCTAAAAATTGGCATTTCCTATATATACCTATAGTAAATGTACCTGTATTTTGAGACGGTCCCTCATAAATACTTGGACGGTAGATTTCCTCCGAACTTTGTATGTACACTGAAGTTAATGTAAGTTATATATGGTATAAAAAAGAAGAGTTTCGCTATTGTAGTTTTCACACAATAAAACTATAGTCGGCCCCCTTAAATTCAATTGTTCATGCACTCTTAATTTGAATTTCAACATTACAACTAGTTGCTCATAAATCAATACTGCGTGATGCAGATGGTTGTATATTTTAAAGTACAACGAAAAGGATTCTGTCTTATTCATAGTGGGTGCATCTGTTGTTGAAATGGCTTTTGTTTAATGAGATTAAATTTGATTGAGATTTTTATCGATAAATGAAAAGATATCAGACGAGTGCTTACACAAGATTACATTGTTAATTGTTTACTCCTAATTAAGGAAGATAACCTTATTTTTTGTAATTTTTGGCGTATTTCACTCACGTGTTATTTCAACAGAATTAGAATTGCAAATTTCAAAAAATCGTGCACGAAGTTTTCTGAATTTGTAAAGGTTTTTGGATTTATTTCTTCCCCTGAAAATTGTACTGAAATGGTCCATTCGGAATGAATATGTGGAGATATTAATCCTTTTTAAAAACTATTTTAAAAAGGATTTGTTTCCAAGTGTTGAGTTAAAATGTTATTTATATCGATTAAAAGCATATTAATAAAACAAAAGACAATGTTTTGCTATATTTTGTTCCCAAAATATGGAAAAATTAAAAGAAAACTACGACGAAATTACATTCATACAGGAAATGACAATTTACTACTGTTCACTGTTTAGCATTTCAAAGATTATGCAACTGTTACTGTGTAACACCATATAATGAAAGCACCAGCATGTAGATATTCATCTTCCCATACCTAATACAGCTCTTGACCTCTTGAAATTAAATTGAAATTCATGCGCACATTGTTTTTCGGTCAACTTTTGGTGCTTTAAAGAGCGAACAGTGTGTTCTGTTTATACGGATTAATTAGTAAAACATAGACCTTATCATGATTATATAATCGTTGCTGCCGCATTCTACGTGATTACCTTGTTTTCGACTCAGTACATCTGTCTACATATTTCTCATAAAATGTCAACAGTGCGGTATTTGTATTATCTGCATACTGTTTTAAATATCTGTTTTTTTCTGAACCTATACGCTAGCTATATAAAAGAGATTTTAAGCAATTCGTATGTTTCTATAACGCCATATCAAGACAAAATATGCGAATTTACATGGCTCAGACTGAAGCTCGAAATCTTTAAACGAAAAAAAAATCAGCTATATTAAAAGATAAAAACAACAGATATAAAGATAAGCAAAAAATGCAAAATGTAAACAACATATAAAGAGGGCATTCTGCGCTACTTCCAGACACCAACAGCTTTTTATCCTTGAACGAGATGATATTGATCTTCATGTCTGAAAGAAATTAACGTCGAACCCGGCGCTAATTGAGTTGGACAGAATGCATTCTCCAAATTTCTAAAACTTTGAGTAAAAGAACCGGTATGAAAAGTTTGCTCTTTTTTAGAGAAAATTAACAAAACAATTCGTCGGTGTGATAATAACTGCTTTACAAGAGTCTCCGATATCTAACTAAAGTCGATAATCGAAAAATAGGACAACTCTACAATACGACCCTGTTCAAATCTGATACCAATCTACACTGAAACAAACTTATAAACTAGAGGATTGAAAAAAGATATACAAATTTTAAACTGCCACGAAGACGTATTGAAAGTCACTTACATTGGTTGCATTTTATCCGAATGTGTCTAGTCAATGGGAGCAAAATACATCCAAATGCAAAATAAATACACCAAAAATATAACTGATGGCATCGCCGGCTGCGAATTTCTATCACGTGTCTGTTTGCCAAAGGGAATCCCCAGCATCATTCATTCAGAATTCCAGAAGCATTTTTTATCAAACACAGAAATTTCTAACGCTCTCGGGACCATGAAGATGAAGTGGTTGAAGTATATCAAAAGCAGACCTCTGTAAGTGTTGTCCTACTGAACTTCTAAAGAAAGTCATAATTCTCTGCATTAAATAATGAAAGATGTGTTTGACTCTATTCCTGTTTAATTATACAATTTACAATATTTCAAGTTATTATCATTCTTTTGTCAGCAACCTGTTATTATGAGACATTGAATAGAAATTCGAATGACCGATGTAGACTGGCCTTGTCTGTCTGCTATGCACTGTACGACAGGCAGAACCAGTCAATGAACGACATAGAATAAAAATACGATTTTTTCCCACCATTTACAGTGAATAAACGACCCTAGGATATGTGTTTGCTCCTGTACTCAGGCAAAGTTAGATTAATATAATCAAGATGAAAATGATAGAGGTGACAAGAATAGATATGGGTTACCCCATATCCAAAGATATTCGACTGTTAGATTTAATATGTTTAACAGTGTTTATAATGACGTTAATAAAAAAAACTGCATTGTCTAATTATGGAACTGTTGTAAATTTCGTGATCCATAGCATTACGGTCACCCAGTCTCCTAACAAACAGTACACATAGGCCTACATGTACCTGTGTCTGCAAGACCAACATTAGCCTTGGTCTACACACGTGCGATGGAGCTGTCAAACGCATCCAGCGAGCTCGGAGAAACACTTTTTGTTTTGTCGAGAAGTTACGATGGCAGACAAAACTTTTCTTTTCTTAATTAGATCATATAAATACGAATTCTGATTAATAAAAGTTATACAATCCCTGTTGAACTATATATAGTTTGTTCTAACATTTGCATCTGCAACAACAAGTGTTTAAAATGCCCGGGTTGGGAAAATCAGGACCGGGTCGGAAAATTCTACACTGAAAACATGGAAAACCTTTTTTGTTTTGAAAATAACTGAAATATACTAATGTATTTGTCGCAGAAATTACTTACATAATTCAAGTTCTATATAAAATGGTATGCTGAACTTCAACACGAACCCGAATCTCCAACCCAGTTCTCGTTTTGCCACACATACCCTACAGTTTACAAAGTGTACACACGAGCAGGCCAGGGATTGAAAATTCCGTCATTTAATAATACACACACACAGAATGATTAATTTTTTTCTTTAAGAAAAAATTGTATGATAATTAACGGACTATAAACATGTACTTAATACAATTGTTGATATACATGTAGTATTATCAATTCATCGGTGAAAAGATATGAATCGAAGAATGACCTAATTATTCTCTGTTATCAAACATGTAAAAAAAAAAAAAAGGCTGAGGAGGGAGCGAGCGTAGGAATATTGATATTTTTTATTTGCATTTCGGGGGGAAAGTGACTTTCTAATAATATTTTGACGTTATTTTTGATTTCTTTAACGTATGACATACACAACTTTACTCTTATCATGGACAATAATGTTGTATCTACTTATCATGATGGAACTATTTTGGTCGGACCAATTTGTGTGAGCTGCCGCTGAATACAGTAATATATCTTGCATAAATAGTATGCATTGATCGAATATATTAAAAATAACGAACGGATTCAGATTTCTTGATAGAGGATGCGAGGCATCGCACCATTTTTTGGGCTTTGGGTATAAATGGATGTATTTTATTTAGTTCTCGTGCATCCTTGAATTCGACTCTCACAAATTAGATCATTAAAATCTAAACGATGAATAAATTTATTTCTAGTTAAAATAAAATAAATCCTCTTATTTCTCCAACTTTATTGTAACTAAAAGGGGTGCAATTGCACCCCGCCTTCTAATAGCCTTAAATGCTGTTGATGATACAAATTAAAAGTGATATTTGCGCTCACAATCTATATGATAATAAAGGTACGTTTTATTGTGCAGATTATTTCATGTCCCTGTTAACATTACGAAAGGCTCATGAATGAAGGACTACATGAATAAACAGCAGGACGAGTCAATTATAAGCAATATTTAGAGTTAAAAATGTAATATTATCCATGTTATCGGAATATTATTTAATTCTCTTGAAATGGAAATTCCAAACTTGATTTCAATCAATAAATTTTTTCCACAGGAATAATTTTTGTACTCAGACCGTTCTTTTGAATAAAAAAGGACATTTTGGGGTTTACTTCTAACCAGTTTGTCCCTTTTGGCCTTGACCTTGGAGTTTAACCTATTTTTGAAGAATTTTACCTTGGATATATTACCGGTATTCTGAATCTATAAATCAAATCCTTCTCATGCATTATACAATATGATATGTCTAAATCTTTTGAACAATTTGTGATAGGGCATCTATATTTCACATGTATCTTTGATACCTTTGGCACCAATAGTTTTTATCTCATTTCAAAAATCAGTTTTGAACAGATGGTGCATGGCTTTCACAGGTGCTTTTCTAGTAACAAAACCTTTCTCATGGAACTTTATTTTTTATCTGTTGACGATGGAGTTTGGGTTGTATTACAGAAACTTTAACCTTCGACGTGAGCTGCCATACATGGGCATCAATGTTACACAAAACACGTTTTGTTTTTTTCTGTTTAACGTATTTTAACTATTTTCAGGTTAATTTTTTCATACATTAGGCCTATTCATGTTACAGAGATAAATTTTATTTACGCTCAATACATTTGTGTGTATTTGTTGCTCAAAAGGAAATGAAATCAAATATCCCCCATGGCCTTCTTTGTCAATTGTACTGAAACCTGAAATGTGGGATTTTAGAATGGAACAATTTGAGATACGAAAGTTGTGGATTCGTGAAAAGGAGTTGCATGTCTATTGTGGTATGAAAAATAAACTGCCTTGAAGCCAAAATATGAGTTTATTGCATAGACATGTAATTATTGATTTTAATTTTTTTTCTTTTTTTTACTAGGTCGCAATATCTTAAAGTTCTACGAAAAATCAAGCTATATCTACAAACGTTTAGAACATTTTTCACAATAAAAGAACTAAAACAAGAACAAGAACGGGAAAACAAGTTCGACAAAATCATATACGTTCCAATACTAATGCCTCAATGTAGATGGATTTGTTAATACATTTTAAACATGCAATACATGATTAATGCGATTTGAGTAAATTCATTTTCAGTAGATTCCCCTCGTTTCTGTCTTTCATATCAAAACGTTTTTCAAAAACAAGGACTTATAGACATAACTGAATTCATGCTGTAATCTTAGCTAATGATAGCAGCCGTTCCTTTTCACTAATGTTGTGTAGTCTGTACTAGTTTCTCATTGACACTTTATATCAATGAGTAAAAGTTTCCAGTTTTGTTACAAATTCCACGAAAACTCTTCATCAACTTATACCAACGTTTTTTGATGGTGTCAGAAACGTTTCATGCTCTGTGTACATGTAATGTGGTATAATGTTTCACAGAATACAGATACGATTTATCCCGGTGAGCTTGAGATAAAAGATACCACAGAGGCTGAGACATCTGTTTCATATTTGGATATTTTACTTGAGAAAGACATTAAAGGTAATGTAATTTTCCTTACTTATGCAGCAATGTGCCTTCATCACCTGCGTACGGAGTTATATATCTCAGTTGATTCGATACGCAAGAGCATGCTCTTCGTATGAACAATTTCTAAAAAGAAGTAAATTATTGACATATGCAAGTTGATGAAACAAGAATATAGCAGTCTCGTTTAAAGTTATCATTTCGTATGTTCTATGGTCGATACAGTGACATTGTCAGCAAATACAATTTTTCATTGAATCAAATGCTGACGTTTTTCAACTAATTGTTACTCCATTATTTATACACGGAATTGACGACGGATTGTTTCATTATTTCCCGATCATGACATGGAGTTCACGGCGGGTATGACCGCCCGGTCGGCAGTGGATGCTCACCCCTCCATGGCATGCACCTGATCCCACCTCTGATGTTTGGGAGTTCCGTTTTTGCTTTGCTCCTATTTTGTATTGTTTTATGGACTTCTGATCTTGAATACTGTTCGTTATCTTCATATTTTTCATTACAAGTGATTACCTTATTTAACGTTTCATATAGACTATTTTTTGTTTTATTCGTAGATTGTATTACACACTGCTTTAACTAATTGTACATAAATTTTATATCGTATTCTCCTTGATAGAATGTCCATGCCAAGAAGAACTGTTTGAAATATTAAATTGGAATTCTTTTTTCTTAGCAAAACTACCATAAGGTTCACTGCCTGCATATACAACTTTTCATCAAGTTTAAAATGAAAAGATTATTTTTTAAAAAGATCAGTGTATTGTTATACATGTAGTTCATAAATGAATCTTGTCGGTATTTCTCTATATTTAGTAAAGCTTCGTGCACTCGAGGCATCTTGTGGGACGTCACAGAAACATATATACCATCTTTCAATTTACATAGAATTTTATTTGACACTTTACACACAAAACTTTGGTGTAGAGAGTGTGTGCTATTTTACAACAATGACATAGAGCAATTTTACTTTTAGGTGTATAGTGTAAATGGAGTTTCATTCAAACAGATACACTACATACAAAACTTAAGTGTGACGTGACGGCCTCTATCGAAAACCGTTTCACCCTGACCTCAAAGACAAAACGGGCTTTGCTTTACAAAACGTACATGATATTAAAAATTGTTAGTCAATATGATATTTCTTCTTAAACACTTATGCTACGAAAACATCCTTACGCATTCACCTTTCGATCAGAAGACTTCACTAAATTCCATTACTTTTTTGTAAAATTATTATTATAGAATATAAAACATGATTAAAATCTTTGAATAGTTTTATGTACTGATAAGATCGATTTTCTCCCTGGTAAATCGAGGCAACGTATCTTCTTGTTTAATACAAGATTTGTTTTTTAAACATGTTACATAATATCAGACCTAAAGATTAAACATGGTAGATCAAATAAAAAAAAAAACATCGATTAAACCACTCTAAATCACTTATACCACAGTGCGTATGTCTTCTTATGAAATTTCAATTTTAATTAAAAGATGTTGAACATTATTTCGCAATAGGAACCTATTTTTATTTTGCAACAACCACTGAACCTTAAGATTATTTTCACAGTGTCCTGCACTTTTTACTCACAAGTTATTTGAAACTTTTAAACGCAAGAAATCTATAATAACCGAGTACATTTACACATCT